TGTTGTAACAAACCAGAATTTCTGGTTGTATTTCGCAACCAGATTTTCCGGATGATTCAACCAGAATTACAGTTGACTCAACCAGACGTCTGGTTGACTCCACCAAATTCTAGTTCAGTCAAATGTAATTCTGGTTAAATCAACCGGAAAATCTGGTTGCGAAATACAACCAGAAATTCTGGTTTGTGACAACAGAACTTTTTTTCAGTGTACGGGTCACTAGAAACGTGGGTCGTACGGGTGGCTGATAAAATTGATCTTCGAATAACTTTTGATGAGCTGAGGAAATGGGTCCATCTGCATCTCATGGACAATACATAGTTGCCGTAATTAAGGTGCCGTGATTTAAGTCATGAATTCTTCATCTAATTCTTGGTTCATCTCCAAAATGTCTGCTATGAGCATATTGGGTATCCAACAAGCGGACACTTTTTTAAAATTCAGATGATTCTTGACAATATCGAACAGAAGTGCAAGAGCTGCGATACAACCATTACATCTAGCTCATCAAAGTTATTCGAAGATCATTCAAAAACCTCTTTGACAAGTTACAAAAACTTTTCGTTAACAATAGTGTCACACGGTACTAGGGGTACGAACCTTATATTTCCCTGACTCAGTCCTAAATTATAGAAGTATGCATTAAATTTCCAGCGATCCAAATAAAATCAGTGAATTAAAAGTTATACGCATATATTATGAGATATTCCGATTTGTTTCCTGCAATATCGCCGCGCGAAGCGCGGGTTGACTGCTAGTATTCCATATTTTATGGAACCACCGACCTACACCGCCTACAATGCTGGTCACAGAGTACGTATTTATTGAAGAAAAGAAATACACAAATGAGAGAAGTCGTAGATTTTTTATTCTCTCATTTTTCTTCTCAAAGTACACCTCAATGCAGTCGTAGCATTTAATTTAATGCTCAATGAAATCTTCTGAGAAAGCCAATCGCACAAAAGCCACATCTTGTTTAGTTTTAACTTCCGTCAATTTCATTATTTGGACTCATCAGAACCTGACCGTACTTCTCGAGAATCTGGAAAATGACCCCATTGCTCCAGCCGAAACCTTCCTGAACTTCATACTCGCCACCATTGCCGCTCTCACCTTCGTGAATTGCGCTATACTGAAACACGTCCAAAAATATGACCATTGACGGACACAGAAAATTGGCAATATTGGTTTTCCCCATTTCAACCAATGGGAATGTATCGATTCTTAGAGGAGCCAGGTGATCCGACAAATATCGACTATTTAACTTAGGTTTAAACGGAGGAAATCTGGTGTTGCCAAATTGCTGGATCCGCCTCTGAATATGATCAATGCACAATTGCTTACATTACACATATTCGCACATGCGTATTGCTCACTCAGAGCATTGTAATTAAATAATTCAATGGTGTGAGCATTTTTACAAGGCTCAATGTAACTCATACTCACTTTTTCGAACATTTTTCCTGTCTTCTTATAGCCAACAAAATTTGTTTGCGCGTATTTTGCTGCAAATCTTTGGGCGACTCTTTGTGCCATCGCGCTACCAGTTTGGTCCAGTCCAAAAATGAAGAAGGATTGAAGAGGAGCCCACATGTTCGGATAGTCCCATTGCTGCGTCGTGTTCAATAGAGACATGGGCATCCCTGGTGGACAATTCAGACAGAGGAAATCAACTTGCAATATCGATTCAAAATTGCCAACTGTCCATACGGGAACAGCCGTCCATATCGAGAAATTCAAAGTTGAGCTGTTTTTACCATAGCTCACAGAAGTGTTATCATGAACATTTTCGCAAAAAAAAAAAAAAAAAAAAAAAAAAAAAAAAAAAAAAAGAAAGGACATAAAAACGTCAAATAAAATCAAAGTTATAAGGCTTAGAATTTTGTATTTAAAAAAGTTTTAATAATTATACGTTTGATACACGCAATTTTAAATTTGGTTTTTGTAGCCGCGTTCCAAAAAAAAATTGGACTAAATTTTGCAATGAAGAACTACTGAGTTTTGATCACCCCCAAAAGCCCCTATCCGAATTTGGGAACTAAAGAAAATACATCGTTTGTATAACGAGCCAACAATTCTAGTTCCCTGTTGGAAAATGAAGTAAAATTGGTGAATGGAAATGAAACTACACGCCGTCCATTATGAGCAAAAAGTAAAAACCAAAAGAGGAAGAGGGGGAAAAACCAAATTGCTCATGGCTTTATCTTTGGGATACTACATATTGCAAGGATTTGTGGACTTTTTGTCGGAAGTTGAAATTCCAATTTTTCTATCCAATTTGAAAAAATAATACATAAAAGCGATTAAAAATAATAAAAAATGATGAAATTTCAACTTTTTTTCCTCCCTTGCAGGGTGAAAATACTTACTCTACCCTAGGGGAGCGAGAAAGTAAAGAATAATAAAAATTAATATAAACTAGGTATGTAAATTTTACAAATACACGGAAAAAAATAATATGTTGATTTAGCATTTATAATCCTGGAATAATGTGCGAGATGTTTCAAATGCTGATTTTACATTAAAAAATGCTAACTTTACTTTTGAATATGTTAATTTAACAGTGGCCGTAGTTAAGTTAGCATTTTTTTCATGTACAAACTGCATTTGAATCTTCTGGCACATTTTTTCAACATTATAAATTTTATAGAATTTCCACCTTGAGCTGCTGTCTCGCTTTCTATCACGCTCACATAGTGTCTCATATGCGATATGGGCTTCTTCTGTGGGGGCGAGGCTCTAGTGTTGATCAAGTGTTTGTCATGCAGAAAAAAATTATCAGAACCATTTTCAATCTTCCTCATAACTCACACTGCCGCCCGATCTTTGTTAAATATAAATTGTTTACCCTAACCTCCCTGTACATCTGGGATTGCCTGAAATTTGCCATCTCCAGTGCTCTTATTTTGCCTTCTGACCTCCTGCCCAATCATCATTACAACAGTAGGCATAAGAACATCCCTAATAAAATGATTCGATTGAGACGGACTGAGCAGGATGTCAAATTTTCGGCAATACAGATGTTCAACGCACTGCCTTGGAGTGTGAAGCTACACTTTCGAAATGCTGATCTAACATCGTTTTTTAAGGGGCTGCGTGCTTTCTTATTCGAAAAAGCCTTCTATAATCTCCACGAACTTGTAGGCTAGTAAAATTTAAACCTTGTACCTTATGTATATCGCTGTAACTGTTCACCATGTACCAAATATGACGTGTGCCATAGCCTCAGCCAGAGGCTCAATTGTACAAATTATAAAATAAATAAATAAATAAATAAATGCTAAAACAACATTTAATTTTTTTCCGTGTATTTTGCCACCAAAAATGCTCCAAAAGTCAACGCGGGCCGAAATTACCTATGACGAATTGAAGTTCGCAGTTTATTTATAGTTGGCCGTGCTGAAGATAAACGCCGTATGAGCCTCGGGCGTTACCACATTTCCTCCAATAAAATTTTTATTTTCGAGGAGAGTGATGAATATTTTCTCTCGAAATTTTCAGATAATTAAATCGGACTGGGAGTGAAACTCTCTCAAATCAGAGGGAAAATAATTACAGGTATCCTGGAAAATTCGTTTTTTATCAAAATACGACGTCTGAAGGCTCATACGTCGTTCTCTCACAAAACGGCAGTGGGTTAATGAAGGGTCTCTGTGTTAAGCGGCAGATACACCTGCGATTTACAAGCGCTTGTTGAAAGTGAAACACCAATAGGAAACCAGGATTTCGATCGCACGACGTTCAGCTATCAAGATCCGCCTTGCCTATTGGTGGTCCATTTTTAACAAGCGCTTGTAACTCGCAGGTGTGTCTGGGCCTCTACTCTGTTTGGTATCTGCATTTGTCAAAAAAAGTTAGGAGGGTCGAATGGAGATGTTGCATGTGTGAGGAATTTGCGATTTGACTGTTGATTCTTGTGTATAAGTTCGCGAGAAACACGATGGCGCCACTGGATTTCTCTGAAATCAACTCCCAAGCTCAGAGAAAGCTCTCAAAGTGAGGCTAAAATGGAGGGGATATCTCATTCTACCCTGAGAGTCCACCTCTACATCAAAACAAACTCTCCATGCAAAGATAGGGAGCAAATACATTGACAGGGCTGCCACTTCATTTGGGGACTCCAAAACTGAAAACACGGCAACCCTGCTAATGTATTTGCTTCCTATCTTGCATGGAGAGTTTGTTTTGATGTAGAGGTGGACTTTCAGGATAGCGTGGGATATCCCCTCCATTTTGGTCTCAACTTGAGAGCTTTTTTTGAGCTTGGGAGTTGATTTCAGAGAAAACCAGTGGCACCATCGTGTTTCTCGCGAACTTTTACATAAGAATCAACAGTCAAATCGCAAATTCCTTACACATGCAACATCTCCATTGCAGAGACTCGTTTAAGAGATTGAGAGTGTAGGTTTGCCAGTAGTATAAAGCCAAAAAAATGATTACCCCAGAATTGCGGCACCCAGAACGGATCGATGAGCCCGTTTCGAGACAGGTACTGGACAGCCAGGTCACCCACTTCCACACGGTTCCTCCGGTAGCTTTTGGTCCACAGAGGTGCAAAGTTTGACGCGTAGAAGTATTTTCGCTGTTTCTTGTTCAGAAGGTCGTAATCGAACCAAATTCCCTCTTCCTCGTTCCAGAGAATCTATACAACACAATGCCATGTTTAGTGTAAGGTTATAAAGAGGGTGTCAATTCCCTAGAAAAAATTGGCGATAAGAGCTGCGTTTCAAAATACCATAGGAATTCTTAAAGCCGGCTGAAGAAGGCTACAGAAAATCATATAGCTGGCTGTAGAATGCGGAGAAAATCATACGGCCGGGCTATACGAAGCGATAAAAAATAATGCAGCTGGGCTATAGATCCTATCGCCGGGATATAGTTCCTATCGCCGGGTTATAGTTCCCATCGCCGGGCTATAGTTCCTATCGCTTGGCCTACACTTTATCGCCTGGCTGTTGCGTTTTCACCATCGATTATAAAAGGCCATAAGAAATTGTGTAAAAATTCGTGTGCTTTGGAAATCATTAAGTTTGATACGGAACTACCTTAATATTTACAAAACACGCATTATATTTCCCTTTAATACATATTTTTTTTTCCATCAATTTAAAAGAGAATAATCCATACAGGATGTACAAACATTTCAAAATCATGAGTTGAATAACGCTGACTCCGCCAGATTAATTACACAAAGCGGAGCGGCTACGCACTGGCGCCTTCAAACCTAACAGGGATACTTCACGAATTGCGCAACGCGTGAAGTATCTCCGTTAGGTTTGAAGGCGCCAATGCGCGTTTCGCGCTGGCTGCCCGCCCGCGCCGCAGCGTGCCACGGCGCTTGAAGCAACTATTTCACACCAGAGGTATTGCACAGTATCATACGAAACTGAAGGCGCTCTAATATATTAGGAATGGCAGGCATCCATCAAAAGTACGGAGCTTTCCTCGCAAAATAAATCAAGATACTACGGCCCAAAGGAGAAGCAGTAGTCCAAAAACTCACTAAGTCCTAGCATCTGTAATTAGTAACGTTTAGCATACACTTCATCGCCTGGCTGTTGCTTAATCGCCATCGGCAATAAAAGGCTATAGAAATTGCGTAGCCGGCTATAGAAGCTATTGGAAATCTTACAGCCGGCTGTAGGTCAATGGTATTTTGGAACACAGATTCTACTGCCAATTTTTACCAGGGTTGCATCTGTGGAAAACCAATGACAGGACTGCCGTGCTTTGGAAAAACGCCGTATGAACCTTCAGGCGCTGCCAAATTTCCTTAGATTATAACAGAATTTACTGGGAGAATTGTGAATATTTTTTCCAAAAATTTCACACAACTTTATACGTGATTCAATTTAAAATAGCTGAAAATTTCAAGGAAAATTTTGCCTAAATTTCGTCACAAATACATGTTGTATGAAAAGAAATTTGGCAACTCTCGAGTATTCATACGGCGTTTTTCCTTAGCGCGGCAGAGTACCACTCGGTAGTGATTCCGGAGACTTAAACGCAAGGCCAGAAGAGTTAGACAAGTAGTTTTCTACATGGGGCGCCGCTCATGAAATGCGTGCGAGATTAAATTGTTAATTTGATTTAATTGTTTTCTTGAAGAATTGTGAATATTTTCTCAAAAATTTTCACACAGCTTTATACGTGGTTCAATTTAAAAGAACTGAAAATTTCAAGGAAAAATTTGCCTAAATTTCGTCAAAAATACACGTTTTATGAAAAGAAATTTGGCAACTCTCGAATATTCATACGGCGTTTTTCCTTAACACGGCAGAGTGCCACTCGGTAGTGATTCTGGAGACTTAAACGCAAGGCCAGAAGAGTTAGACAAGTAGTTTTCTACATGGGGCGCCGCTCATGAAATGCGTGCGAGATTAAATTGTTAATTTGATTTAATTGTTTTCTTAAAGAATTGTGAATATTTTTTCCACAATTTTCACACAACTTTATACGCGACTCAATTTAAAATAACTGAAAATTTCAAGGAAAATTTTGCTTAAATTTCGTCAAAAATACATGTTTCATGAAAAGAAATTTGGCAACCCTCGAGTATTCATATGGCGTTTTTCCTCAGCACCGCAGAGTGCCACTCGGTAGTGATTCTGGAGACTTAAACGCAAGGCCAGAAGAGTTAGATAAGTAGTTTTCTACATGGGGCGCCACTCATGAAATTCGTGCGAGATTAAATTTAATATTCAGCTGAGCCCCTCGGTTTATTTAAATTTAATCAATCGAATTTTGAAGGAAACTCAATCGTAAATAAAACTAGGGGGCTCAGCCCCCTGACTGCTTCGCGTTCCAGGCCACCGAGCGCTTCGCATTCGGGCGTTTGCATTACACGATACTCTGCCCACTTCGTTGACATGGATAGTACTGCCGTACTAAAGAAGATCGATGTATGAACATTCGAGAGTTGCCGCATTTCCTTCAATAACTTGTTTGTTTTTGAGGAAAGATGTAAATATTTTTCCTTGAAAATTTCAGGGACTTTAGGTGAAATTGCGGACAAAATTATCTGAAAAATTTGAAGAAAAATATCCGCGTCTTATCAAGGAATGGGGAGTGGGTCCCTTACGTACGGGAGTGAGGTCTGGCAATTAAAGAAAAGATCCGAGGATATCTTAAGGACAACCGAAATGGACTTTTGGCGAAGGTCTGCAGGGATCTCGCGGAGAGAGCGCGTTCGTAATGAACGAGTGCGTGAAATAATGGGAGTTGAGGAAGATATTGTGCACGATATCAAAACCAAGCAGCTGGTTTGGTATGGACATGTGCGGAGAATGGCAGATAGTAGGTTGCCCAGAAAGGTATTTAATTGGGTTCCTCCCGGAAGAAGGCGGCGTGGACGTCCAGTAAAAGGTTGGCGAGAGGGAGTGGAGGGGGAGATCAGACGGTGTAATCTTTCCGATGATTTGTGGGAGGATCGATTGCGATGGCGATTTGGAGTCGCAGAGCGCTCTAGTGCGCTGAGGTAGCGGCTTGATATGTATGTATGAGGAGTGGGTCCCCCCAGGTAGGCGACGGAGAGAGCGTCCAGCCAAACGGTGGGTAGAGGGCACCCGTCAAGAAATGGAGAGATGCCAGCTTCCAGAGGATCTCTCATGACAGATTCCTGTGGCGGGTAGGCGTCGCAGAGCGCCCTAGCGCGCCGTAAAAGCGACTTACACGTACATATCAAAGGAAATTTGGCAATGCCTGAAGGTTCATACGGCATTTTTCCTTGCCACGGTAGAGTACCAGTGGTGATATTGCAAGCTGGCTACACTGTTTTCCCTCCATTTAAATGTATGTAAAACAATCCATTCTTAGCGAAGCAGCTTCTCTCACCTAAATTTATATTTTTAGGAGACTCAAATTTTTTAATTGTTTTTTAGAGCTTTGTCGTATTTTATACTAGAATAACCCACAAGAGGTCCACGTAGAGAGCGCGAAGTACCCTCGGGGGGTTGGACAGCATAGCGGTCAGGAGGCGTAGCCCCCTATTTCTGTATAATAAATCTCAAGCATTAAAGAAGGCTTATTTCTCCTCTAAAAAAATAAAAAAAAAACAGTGGAAATTTTGAAACTCCGCAATAAGGGTTTTGCCTTTTGGCCAATATTATTGGAGCTATGCCCAATAAAAATGTTTCATTACATTGCCAAGTTTGGCTGGCCATATTGTATGGAACATGGTAATTGATTGAAATTTTTGGTGATTGATTAAAAGTTATATTTTTTCTCATCCACATGTAGTTTGAAATACAACTTGTTTGTTTTAGCTTGTAGCTCGATTTTGCAATCAATTACCAAGTGAAAATGTTACCAAGAAGATAATGACTTAATTTTGAGATATTACCGCGGTGATAGCTTTCAATAAGTCGTCTGCATGTTCTTTGTAATGTGCGCTTTTGTTGGGTTTACCAAGAATGGCGCACCACCTGCTCAAGATGCGGGCATTCTGCTCCAGAAGCGCGTTCAGATCCACTTGGACGATGGACTCGGTCAGGGTATTCGTCAAGTTCCCTGGAAAAAAAAACAGAAATTGAATCAATCAAGAAAAAATCAGAGATATCAACTAATGCCCAAGCTAGGGACTCTATAAACAAAAGAAGGTAGATAGATAATATTAAAATAGCTCTTCCCTAAGAAGCACAAATTACAATAAATTGCGATTAGATGGTAAAATTAGCGCTGTATACTACTTTTTTCTATACAAATTAATTTTTTTTCAAAAACCGATTATACTTAGATGACTTACTTTTTATAACATTTTAATTTGTACAGAAAAAAGTGTTCATAGTGCCGATAAAATGTTAAAAAAATTGAGCAGTATGCTACAACATAGCTATATACTATATTGGAGTGATGTGTTTGTTGTATATCTATTGATCGAGCAGCAGCGTCATTTCACCAAAACCTTGGGGCCTAAGTAGCAGTGATTGCGATAAGTTGCAATTTGATCGGAGAATGTATCGCGATTTTATCGATGTCGATTTATTGCAATATTTTCGGATGAAAAATTGCGATTTAATCGCAATATTCCTGTCGCATCCATGCAACGTTCTAAGTTTTTCATCCATCCTTTTCTTACACATTTCTTCCATCTCTCTCTTAAATTCTCAGTCTTCAACTTTTCGAGCCTCACTCCGATTTTTACATCCTATCAGCAGATTCATCTAATAATTAATCTAATCTTTGTAACGGCAGGCTAATGCAATGTGAACCGATATTTGCTCATGCTCTTCCACGCCTCGTAAGGGCTGGAGAGATTTCTGTACTTACTTCGATTCCTACCATCCTAGCGTAAGCCTCGTGCTAATATTCTTTTCGCTCAATCAAAGTCTAAGTCAAATCATATTGTTAGTAGTTCTGGATAAAGCGTCCGGTTTTCCATCCAACGAAGTTCGACTCATCTATTTATCCAATTCTGCTCTCCCATAATTTAACATTTTTCGTGCGCGTTAAGTTTGACTCTTAAACGTTTCAGTCCGTTTAACCCTTACCTGCACACATTATGGGTTTCGAACTTTTTTTTGAAATTTCGAGTTTTCTAAGGTCTCTTGGGTCTAGATAACTGAAAATTAGTGAAAAAAATTTTTTTTTACTTTTTTTTACCCGGAAATTTTGACAAAAAAGGGTGGTCAGTATGACTGACCACTGAACAGGATAGGAATACGCAAATTTCCTATTCACCTATGTGGATATAATTTTCGTGTTTTTTTTTTTTTTTTATTTTTGTGTAAAAAATGATCCTTGTCTCTACCTATCCGCGCAAGACATTCAATTTCTGCCCTCCAAGCCCCCAACCCTTCTCTCGCAGTCCTCCCCTTACCTTCCATACTAACTTTACCAGTGAATAATAAATGTTGACTCCGTAGATTTTGTAAGTTTTTCACTTTTTCTTACATGTTTGTAAGTGATAGAGTCTCTGTTTTTGGAAATTGAGTGAAGCTAGTCTTAGAAAAATGTATAGTTTATTATAAAAGAGTATAAATAAAGCAGAAATATATAAAACTGCTTGAAGTGAAGAACATATGAGCGTAACTGGAATAAGTAAGGAGGCAATCAAAGACTATAGTCACAATAAAATAAATTCATTTTTTCAAAATGCAACGATAATGGTCCTTTCCCACATAAGACTAGCAATTTTAAAATAATAATTTTGGTCAATAATTAAAAGTAATGAACATAATCATAAAAATTACTGATAAAATAGTAATAAAAAATAAAGCAACAAGAATCCAGTTCCAGCTCCTATAGCCACCTGCTCGGTGGTCAGTTATACTAACCACCATGTTCAAGCATGAATTAAATAATCAAAACTTCTGAATTTTTCAATTGCCAAATGACATTCTCGCAGCATTATAGTCTAACTTAATATTTTACTACTAAATCAGAACCATTTGCGTCGCACAAGCAAGTGACAACCGCAAAACTGGAGATAACACCGGCGGCACCAAACCTCCAACGAATCGGAGGTAAACAATAGATGATAAAACAATATTGCCAACATAACATCGCCCGGCAATATTTTTTTTCATATTCTGGACCATATACCAAGTATAACTACATGGTTGGTAAGGGTATGTCGCGCCAAAACGGCCATGAATAATTATTTAAAAAGGTGGTCAGTATAACTGACCACTGAGCAGGTAAGGGTTAACACCCAGTAACAACTTATCCGCGACAATTCCCAAACCAAAATCGTGACAATTTAAGATAAAATTTCGATTTAATCGAACGCGATTTTGTAGGGATAAAATTTCGACAAGATTGAGGATAATGGATCAGATTTTGATGATCCCAGCAATGTCAACGCCAAAAATTGGTAAAAAAAATTTACGAATTAGGTTGATGGCGAAAGTCCCAAAATAGGTATCTCAGTTTGCGATGTTGCAGCCTTCCTGTAATACGTAATTTCTTTAATGGGAACCGGTAATTCTTTAAACTTCCGTGATTTTCTTCTCTGTGCGAAAAAAATTCTGTGAAAACTTCACGGAATGGTGTTAATGACGTATCCTCCTTCAAAAAAAGTAAAATGGCAGCGAAGATTTCAAAACGACACGGAAACGTGGTTTTGGAGTTTCACCGTCGATATACTACTCAAATTTTTTTTAATTGAACTATTTTTTACACTTTCCTAGTTGTGAATTGTAAAACGTTTACCTTCGTTCGTCCCATCTTTGTTAATATGCCGCGAGGAGAAATCCCAGCCGGTTTCGGCGGCTGTTTTGATTTGGTTGTAAAATACGTCCCGCTGCCACTGCTCGGGAAAATGCTCAGCCAACTCATAGTCTTCTCTGTGAAAGAAAAAGTGTAAAGAGTTAGAACCTGCACTGTGATTTGATGCATAACCGCGCTCAGCTCTGAACAGGAGCGGATCAAAAAATTCGGCAAAACCGGATTTCCTCCATTTAAACCTATGTCAAATAATAGATTATTGTCCCTTGAAGAAATGAAACATGGGCGGAGAATGGTGATGTTACAGTAAAAAATATGCACTTGTTACTACAGCCGTTGAGGTGTTACAGAGAGTTGAGTATCAAAATTAAAAAGTTAGTGATTTTGATCATATAAAAAAGGTTTCATTTTCTTCCCTTCCTATTATAATAAGTCGAAGGTTGTTCATTCTTGATTGCTTTGAAGTCTTCTTCTGGTATTTTCGACTTAATAGTGGTATTTCAACGTACTTATATGATTCTGGACGTGGGCCTTTGGATCTGGTCGTGAAATGGGCGAGGTAGTATTTTTGTCCATTTTGTTCAATTTCTACCATCTTGTGTCGGAGCCAAAACAGGAATTCCTCCTCGAAGATCTGAAAAAAAAAAAATTCTGTCATTGCATTGCCTGCAAAATGATAACTAACCAACCATAACGTTTTCATGAGTGGGAGGTTAAATTCACGCGCCCAGATACGTCAAATATCTTGGTTAGGAATTAATTTCACTTATTCTAGTTGCGCAAATTGTGTTTTACGTGAAATTAAGGTTAAGAAACATGAATCAGAATGCCTAAATTCGAATCTTGTCTCATGATCCGGAAGCCAATGATTCTCCTTCAATTAGCCGGCTATGCAAAACAACTGTCGTGACGCACGAATAGTGGTATCACAATTTCGCACTGAGATTACACGGTGTGTTGAAGGCGCTTCTCTTTATCCTATCTTGGCGGCTCTGTATAATGATGCTAACCAAAAACTTTCACAGTTTCAGAGTCTTCAATCCGGCCGTAATTTTGAAAAATGTACGAAGGACATTATTTAGCATTCTAGAAAAATTATTTTTGTTATCTGTAAGTCTTATTTCAGAAGAAGGTTTCACACACGCGATTCAGATCGCAGTTTTTTAAATCTTCTTGTTTTCGAAGTGTGTGTAGAATGGCTACAGGACATTTTGTCAACGATTTTTTGTCCGCGCACCTGATTTTTCCAGTAATTTACGACCACGCGTTTTTTCGGCACGGAAGTTTTGGTCCACGTGCCAGTTGAGACCCAAAGTTAATTGACCCACAAGTAAATACAAACATCCCTCGACGACAAGTCAATAGACAATTCCGAGGAAAACGAAGAAGATTACTTATAAACATATAGAAGACTGAGGATCTTCAAATGTAACTTAATCTATAAAATAAGTCTATAAAGGGAAACTACTTGGGGGAACCAATATGTAAATATTATAGGAACTTCTAACACTATTAGCATGTACATTATATAGGCCTTCGACCATAATTCTGTCCAATTATGGTTCCAAAATGTAAAATAAATAATAAATAATTCGTTTAATTGACAAAAAAAAAGTAAATACAAACGACCATTGCTCACGACGTTTTTGGATGAAAATGTATAATGTCTTGAAAGAATGAGGGTTTGCTTATTTATTTGTTTTGTCTGTTTGGTCCAACGGAGAATAATATATAGTTGAGAGTTTTGGTAAAAATAGGGGAGCGTCAATTCCATGAGACAAAATTCACTAAAACTCTCTACACCTCTTTGGTGTAACAGGACCTAATTTTCTTTCAAAAAATTCTCACCTTGTTATACCTGAACCGAATAAACCTCTATATTTGCCTCAGCTAAAGGCTCTTAGATTTTCCCTGTGTACGATAAGTATCTTGATTTATTTTGCGAGGAAAGATCTGTACTTTTGAAGGATGCCTGTCATTTTTAATACGTTCAATTTCGTATGATACTGTGCAACACCTCTGTTGTGAAATAGTTGCTTCAGACGCTGCCGCATGGCGGTCGGGCGGCTAGCGCAAAACGCGCATTGGCGCCTACAAACCTAAGTGGATACTTCAAGCATTGTGCAATGCGTGAAGTATCCCTGTTAGGTTTGTAGGCGCCAGTGAGCCTCTCACGCTGGCAGCACGCCGCTCCGCTCTGTTAGGCTTTTATTTTATACTCACATAGTCAGCGTTTTTAACTCATAATTTTGAAATGTTTGCACACTCTTTATTGATTATTCTCATTTAAATTGATGGGGAAAAAAACATGTATCAATTAGGAACTATGCAGTTTCTGGCTCAGTTCAGAAACAACGTATATACCTGTAGTTTCCCTAAGCACGTAACTGTTTATCACACCCACTTTAACAATGATTCTTAACCAGCTTTCTAGAGCATATCTCACCTTTCCCGTAGCGGGCCGATTGTTGAAATTGATAGACACAGCTATAGACAAAGAAGGCATAAGGAGTATGTAGCGATCCTGTTGGTTGAAGTGGGTGGTTTTTATAGACTAAGGGCGAAAATGATGGACTAACTATCGAGTCTCTAGTGAGTTGCCTTTAGTTAGTTGATTATCTACCTCCCATGTCCTCTGCAACCACCCGCTTCCTTTAATTGGATCCCTCCATATATTTTTTGTCTTCTCTCCCTGCTAAAAATGATGAGTAGGCTATTCAGAATTTGCCGACTCACGTGAGTAGAATTTCCTACTTATATGAGTAGAAATCCTACTCATATCACTAGAATATTCTACTCATAAGAGTAGGAAAGTTCAACTAATATGAATTCAACTTTTTTTCATTTTTCCGAAGTAGTGTTTTGACCGGGAGACACCGACATACTACGTAAATTTGAAGAATAAGAACATTTTGTTCTTATACTTTTTTTGATGCAGTGGCTAGTTTCTGAGATATCGGACACGGTAGATTCAACGCTGAACTCATGTGAGTTGAAATCTCTAGTCATATGAGTTGGAATCTCTAGTCATATGAGTCGGCGAAGAGTGAATAGAGAAATTCTGCTCATATGAGTTAAATTCTATTCATGTAAGTTGAAATTCTATTCATATGAGTTGAAATTCTGTTCATATGAATTGAAATCCTATTCATATGACTTTGATTTTCTACTCATTTGTACTCACCATTTTTAGCAGGGAAGCCATCGATGAAGAAGGTATGAGGCGTATGTAGTGATCCTATTGGTTGAAATGGGTGGTTGTTATAGACTAAGGGAGAAAATGATGGACTAACTATCGGGTCTCTAGTGAGTTGCCTTTAGTTAGTTGATTACCTACCTCCTATGTCCATTGCAACCACCCACTTCCACCAGTTGGATCCCTCCATATATTTTTACTTTCTCGCTCCCCTAGGGTAGAGAGGAAGTATTGTCATCCTCCAAGAAAAAAAAGTTGCAATTTCATCATTTCTAGACGTTTTAAGGCCCCTGGAGTCAAAATAACCATACTTGAAAAATTGTGTGTCCGTCCGTCAGGCGTCCCCCAAATCTGTCTACAGCGATATCTCAGAATCTATCCGTTCGATTTCATTCAAAATTTGCACAAAACACCATATCTGTGGTCTCCTTATGCACGTCAAACGCTTTTGAGGTGCGCTAAAATTGGGGGGGGGGGCTGGGGGATGTCCATTTTTAGCAAAATCACACGGAAAGCTCATTTTGAAGGACTGTAAATTTTGAAAAATGCCTTTAATTCTTTAACAGTGGGCATCAAGCACATCACCTGAGTCATTAATTTAAGTTCCTAAAAGATCTTTGGACTAAACTCAAAATTCAAGGGATTACGAGGCCCAAAAGTTGGGCACTTTTTTGTCTTCTTTGTCCATAGCTTTGTCTATCAATTTAAATAATCAGCCCGCTGGTCTACAGTTCCTTTCGACAGAAATACGTCCATTCAAGACTCACCTCGAAGTAGTCGCTGATCAGCTTCATCCCCTGGGTCTGGTTGAAGCGGAGGAAGGCGTCGGCCATGGGTATGAGCAGAGGCGGCTGGGAGCGCATGAAGTAGTACTTCCGGCTCCCGTTGGGCACGTACCCGAAGCGGGCCACCAGGCTCAGGAGGTTCTCGATCATGCCGCGGGCGGTGTCGTGCATGTCGCACACGAGGAGTCCGTAGACGATCCAGTAGGTGTCCCAGTAGTAGATCTCCTTGAAGCGGCCGCCCGGGACTACCAGGCCGTTCGGCAGGTAGATCTGCGAGTAGAGGTCTGGGTGTTCGCGGACGTCCTCTTTCACTTTACGCGCCAGTGTCCGCCAGATCATGTTCAGCTCCTTTTTCATTCAAAAGCCGAATTTATTAGTACACGGAGAAAAAAACCTCGTGCGTGGGACTCGAAGTTTAGGTCATATGGATCTCTGAAGTTTTCGGATTGAGCATCTTGAACACTTTAGGTCCAGCTGTCGAGGTTCGGATCACACATCTGAAGTATCTCAGTTTTTTTTTTTTTTTTTTATTTTTAAACCAATTATTTATTTTAGTTATTCGACAAGGTGGAATGAAATGGGACAGGATTTCACCCGAAGGCCTGTGTTAACATTTTAAATATAAAGATCCTAATTTACAAAGTATCTCAGTTGTGAGATCCGAAGTTTTTCGGTTGTGAGAACCGAAGTCATTCGGATGTGAAAACCGAAGTACTTCAGATGTAAGAGTTGAAATTTCAGATGTGTGATCCAAACCTCGACAGCTGGACCTTAAGTGCTCAGATGCTCAATCCGAAAACTTCAGAGATCCATATGACCCAAACTTCGGGTCCCACGCACGAAGTTTTTTTCTCCGTGTAATAAAGAAACAACTTAAAACGGGACTAAGGCTTAAAATAATAGAAAGAAACACATAAAATAAAATGAAAAGCCCGGGACGTTTCGCAGGGATTACACCCGCATTTTCAACCGGCTAAACAAGAAAATTAAAAGAAGGACACTATGGCCCTTACCGTTGTTATTGTGAGACTGATAGTGCCAAAATAAACGAGCAAGTGCAACTTGAAACAAAGCTGTGGTGAAGTTTTGCAGTTTTCTCGATTGCTCATTTTCGGTCCTACATCACGGCGCGAGGATGCGACTATTCGTGCTCGATGGATGTCCATGTTGCGTGCAAAGAATTGAAGGCGCGCCGGTTTGCCTTATTCCGGAGCAATAACACATAACGATCTGATGAAGAGGTGCGCTGCCCTATCTTACATCACGGCGCGAGGATGCGACTATTCGTACTCGATGGATGTCCGTGTTGCGTGCAAAGAATTGCAGGCGCGCCGGTTTGCCTTATTCCGGAGCAATAACACATAATGATCTAATGAAGAGGTGCGCTGCCCTATCTTACATCACGGCGCGAGGATGCGACTATTCGTACTCGATGGATGTCCGTGTTGCGTGCAAAAAATTGAAGGCGCGCCGACTTGCCGCATACTCAGAAACTTCACTCATGCTGTCCCACGTCCTCATTGGTAGCGCATTTGCTGTCTCCATATCGAGCCAGAAACCATGGCCCTTATTTTTTAAATGTAATCCAATTAATGCACGAGGCCATAATTCTCGGTAATCATCATCAGATAAAAACCACACCACTGAGAACTAGTGTATTAACCCATTCTTTGCACTATCTCAAGAAGCATTTTTGAATGGGACAGCAGCAATATTAATGAATTTTTCTCGCAATAAAACTGCTTAAATTTTACTCTTGTCAGGATAAAATGTACAAGTAGGTTAAAATTTCCAAAGAGCAGCCCGTGAGAAGGGTGATATCAGAAACATAGGAGTTCGATACTCCTATGTTTTACTCCTATGTTTAACTCCTATTTTTTGATATCAGGATAAAATTGGGTTTCTTTTGTGTCTACTCTGTGAGAACTTGTCCTTATTTGAGGTGTTTTGAAAGGTTTTTCCCTGATTTACCAGCGCAAAGTAGTGAAGTTTTGCAGTTTTCTCGAATAATTTCTCATCTTCGCTGCTAAATTAGATTGTTTATGTATGAGCACAAACGACCACCACTTTCTCCTTTAAATATGTTGTAATGGGTATACTAAAGATTAAAATATTCGAATATGAAAGTGGTAGTCGCTTGCGCTCATACATAAACAATCTAATTTAGCAGCGAAAAGGAGCAATTATTCGTGAAAACTGCAAAACTCCACTACTTTGCGCTGGTAAATCAGGCAAAAACCTTTCAAAAACACCTCAAATAAAGACAAGTTCTCACAGGGTAGATGATTAAGAGTCGATTTGACCATACATGACATTATTCTAAGCTGTTTCAATTGTCGACCTAAGTTAGGGCCAAAATACCCTCCTTAATGGGACACATCCTTTGACTCACTGGAAAAAAACACACTGGATCTAGAGTCCAGACTCTTGAAAACATTGACATGAAAAAATACCTCTGTTTCAATCGGATTCTTGCTTGAATCAAAACGAAATCCGCTTAAATTAAGAGGCCTGGTTATTGAGTTAGGCTAGATTCTGATTGAATCAAGAGTACTTCTTCTTGTCGATGTTTTTAAGAGTCTGGACTCTAAATCCAATGTGTTTTTTTCCAGTGTAGAGTAGTTCATGCTGAGAGAGGACTTTACCTGTGCCCAAACTCGATACTGAGGATCGCGGATTTTTTTGAGAATGGATGGGTTCTCGGTGAAATCGGGGGGCGCCCAGGATTCGAGTTCTCGGCCCTGTTCGAAGTGATCCTGGACGAACTGCGAGATCTGGTCCTTGCTGAGGGTCCCGTTACTGCGCTCCTTCAGCGCGTCGAACTCCACCAGCAGCTCCTCTTCGGGCACCTTCAGCTTCAGGTCGACGAAGGACTTGGAGTCCTTGAACAGCCCCGCCAGCTGGATGTCGTGCAGCACATCGCCAGAGCAGTACACGCGACTAAAAACAAATAAATAAATGGGGGAAATGAATTGATGAGGATAAATAAATGAGGGATGATGAGATGAAGGAGTACCAATGGAGATGTTGCACGTGTGAGGAATTTGCGATTAGACTATTGATTCTTGAGTAAAAGTTCGCGAGAAGCACGATGGTGCCACTGGTTTTCTCTGAAATCAACTGCCAAGCTCAAAAAAAGCTCTCAAGTTGAGGCCAGAATGGAGGGGGTATCCCACGCTATCCTGAGCGTCCACCTCTACATCAAGACAATCTCTCCATGCAAAGATAGGGAGCAAATACATTAGCAGTGATGCCGTGTTTTCAGTTTTGGAGTCCCCAAATACAGTGGCAGCCCTGTCAATGTATTTTCTCCCTATCTTTGCATGGAGAGTTCGTCTTGGTGTAGAGGTGGACTCTCAGGATAGGGTGGGATATCCCCTCCATTTAGGTCTCAACTTGAGAGCTTTTTTTTTGAGCTTGGGAGATGCTTTCAGAGAAAACCAGTGGCACCATCGTGTTTCTCGCGAACTTTTACGTAAGAATCAACTATCAAATCGCAAATTCCTCACACATGCAACATCTCCATTCCTTGATATCTTGTGGGAGGACCGATTAATGTGGCGGTTAGGCGTCGCAGAGCGCCACTTAAGTACGTAATAAATAAGGGGTTTGGAGGACAAGGCGCATAAGTGCAGTTCTTACTATTTCGAAAAATACAGGTTTGAAGTTTCGAAATTGCATGGATTCTTATGGCGGAAAGAAAGTTCAAACTGACTTTTTGGTTCTCAAAAATTGGAATTTGAAAGCGAATTTTTTGCAGAATATGCATTACGACTAGTTTAACTTCACATCATTCAAATCTAAATTTTTTCGAAAAATGCAGTTATGCGCTTTGTCCTCCAAGCCCCTGAAATGATGGCTTCAATGACTTAGGTCATTAAAATTTAAGGGCCTTGCTTTTAAAATATATTCTCTCAAAAAACTTAAAGAATGATGATTTCTGATGACCTAAGCTATTAAAATTTATGGGTCTCGTTTTTAAAATATATTTTTTCAAAACACTTAAAAACTGATGATGTTCATGACCTAAGCCATTAAATTTATGGGTTTCGTTTTTAAAATATATTTCCTGGAAAATCTTCGGAAAATGATGATCTCAATGGCCTAAGCCATTCAGATTTGTGGGCTTCGTTTTTAAAATATATTTCTTCAAAAAATATTTAAAGAAATGATAATTTCAATGACTTGAGCCATTAAAATTTAAGGGCTTCGTTTATGTGATATATTTCCTAAAAAAATCCCGTATAAGGCGAACCTCAAGTGGACGATATTCGTCAATAAGTTCACCCATGGTCTAGTGGTTCTATCAACATTCATGGAGCGAGTTGATTGTGTGTTTTCCGAACCGATAGCTATTCTCGCTTCCTGGTAGATATGTTGCCTATGCAGCAAAAATGAAGGCGAACCTCCGATGGACGATACTTACCAGTGGACTGACAATGCCGTTTATCGGTTCAGTAAATGCATATAGATTCACATAAGTGAGTTTCTCCCAACTAGACTTATGAACTGAAAGAGTCAGATCAAGAAGTGCACCATGGCATTACAACGTTGTAAAGTTTCACCCGACAAATTATATCATATAACCAATATCGCCATTCCACCAATTCCTGGGGAGGGGGGACAAGTGACCTGACATGACCCGTAACATTATACATAGGTAAAGAAATGATTAAAATGAAAGGTCGATGAGAGTATATAACGTTAAATTAATTAGAGTTAATTTAATAACCCGTTAATTTGACCAACGTGAGTTAAATAAGTAAATACAATAAAAATAGATTTGTAATCATAATACCTAAAAAAATGTGTCAAAATCAAGTTTTCAGCAATTCAATTAATTTTTCTCGTTTTGTATCTATAGGTCTTCTGAAACGTAGGGGAGGGGGGGCATTGAATTCCAAATAACGCCACAGATCATACCGGACCGCGTTAAACAGGAAGGAACGAAGCCACATCAGCTATTGCCAAATTTAACCGGGCAACTTCATGTTTTACACGAAAACGATTGTGCGGATTTTTGTGCAAATTTCAGTGAATTTTCTGCATAATACGAGGCAAATTCTTGAAAATTTTCAAAGGAATCCGCACAAGCGTTCTCTTGTAAAAATTAAATTGTCCAGTTAAAGGCAACATCTGATGCGACTTGGTTCTTTCCTGTTAAACGCGGTCCAACTATCAGTGGGTGCACGCTTTTTAACGATTTTCAGAATTGAGTTGAATTTCAGAAAATTCCGGGTTGTTTACAAGAAAACAATAACAAAAAATTGCAACCGTTCTCGAGTAAATAAATAAAACCTCAAGAGACACTTCACGATGTTTCAATACTACTAAGCTCTCACCGCTCTAATCTCTTCAAACATGTCGCATACTCAAATGTCATGTACAGTAAATCTCCGTGTTTTCCTGCTCTCTTTTCATCAGTAGCGTGGCGTGCTTTGCGATATATCGATTGTTGTGCCATTTAAACCTACGGTACAGAATCGATTATCAAGGTGTTCGCTGCGAACACCCTGTTCATCGATCCTTTTCCATAGGTTTAAATGGCACAACAATTGATACATCGCAAAGCACGCTACGCCACTGCTTTTCATATCTGAAGTGGTACATTCAAATTTAACTGGGTTGAGAGTTTTATTGTTGGATGAAATTGTGCAAAAAGGAGAACAAGGAGGGGAGGGTGGCATTGTCATGATGCCGTGGGAATTACTAGCCAAAGGCGCTGGATAACGTATTCGGGCCCCTCATCAAGGCTTGTGGCATGGCAAAGCTTAGGCAGGTGCAGGAACTGTTGAAATTGTCACTCGAAAGTTGGAGTTTTTTGGTTCCTCATTACGCACTTGGTTGAAATCGACATACATACAATTTTTTACGAAGCAGCCTGACACATTGGTAACATGAAAAAACATGGGGAGAAAACGGGAAACAAGGCTGAACATATAACATTAAAAACCCGAGACGTTTTCACTCAAAACTGAGTCATTATCAGTCGGAAAATAAATTAAATATTAAAAAATTTCGAAAAAAAAACCCGAGATCTGAAAGTTGGTGGCCGAGATCCGAGAAATGACAACAAAAACAAACAATTAAAAACAACTTATCAACATTTACTTTGCTACATTCTACTAAGCAAACGATTCAGGTGTTGCACGTTGTTTACCCTGCCGTGATAAGGAAAAATGCAGATGAACCTTCTGGCGTTGCCAAATTTTCTTTGATACAACACGAATTCCCTGGTAAACTTATGAATATTTCTTTGCCAATTTTTCAGATAATTTTGTTTGCAAATTCACCTAAAGTCCCTGAAAATTTCAAGGAAAAATATTCATAACTTTCTTCAAAAACAAACATTTAATTGAAGGAAATTTGGCAACTCTCGAATGTTCATACGGTTTCTTTAGTACGGCAGTCCAGTTTGCACTACATAGAGCGGGAAACGGGGAAACGTGACGACTGGGGTGCGCACAGTAGCGTCCGCGCAATGCATGAAGTATTCATGCAGTCGTGCAGGCGCTAACTCGTGTCTCGCGCCGACCGTAGTGTTTGGTGCGATCGTTTCAACTCGCGCAGCGTTTTTCAGCTCGTGATTTTGAAGTTCGTAGCACAGGCACACTCTGTATGGACCGTTTGTCATTATTTTACTTTGATAAAACATTGAAACACCTGCACAAAATCTAACTAATTTTCTTCTCTTTATTTGCATATCGATGACCAAAAGTGCGGAACCACGAATCTGCGTGAGTGACATTGTAGAGTTCCTGTCATACGTTTTCCATTTTTTCTTTGGTAATTTCTTGAAAATTTTCTCGATTTTTACTCTTTGTCGGAGGAATATTCCGTGCGAATTTCAAGTTACAAAGTTAGCTTGTTTCTCTTTAAAAGGAATAACATAGGTGCGGGAATTTTAAAGTGCAATGGTNGGGGGGGGGGGGGGTGAAGGGAGGAATTTACTCGAGGCTTCGACCGGGTGTCTCGAAAGTTGCTCGACAGAAATGCCATGGTTGGGTTCCTCTGACGATAGGCGATACCTAGGCCGGTTTTCCAAACCATTTAAAAGGGCCCCAAGTGGGACGACCAGGAAAGTGCCATATTTTTCCCTTTCATGCGCGCGTGGAGCGTTCATCGCACACAAATATTGACGGTGTTTTGCGGAAAATTATTGAAAAACAAAATCCTTAAACATTTTCCCGGCTTGCACAAAAATTTAAGTGTATTTTGAGGAAAAGCATTAAAAAACAAATCCTCGAAAATTTTCCTGGCTTTATCAATGCCTTTTAGCATCACACAAAAAGCGGAATAACACCCGCAGTTTTGAACTTAATGCAGACCGAAAGCGTTGGTTAATCTACTCCGGGGTTCAGTGCTACTATAATTTTCAAAATATCCATTTTTTCCACCTAAAATTCTCATGGCGCACATTATATCGGCGCTGCTCGTAATTACCGGGCCTCGTGAGACCTTCACACACCCGAATCTCCAAGCGAATCTCATGGAGGACCCTGTCATTCCGCTCTCTATCCAAATCTGCAAAGCCGTATCCAAGCTCTCCGGCCACCCTCTATTCTACATCTTTAATCTCCGCTCAGATTTCTCGACCACCGAACTGCTTCGTAACCTACACGAAAATAATATCCAATCGGTTTCACTCACCCGTAACCACGCGCTTGAAAAAACCATCAATATCGCCGGGCCGAAAAACATGATATTTTATCTAAACAACATACGTGATATTCCGAGCCTTATTTTGGGTTCTGCGAGAGCAACCCCAAGTGAACAACCCTTGTCGTTACGAGAAGATGAAATACCAAATTTCTGCGTCGAATCCGATCTTTACTCGGAGGCGTTCGGAGTCACCCAGGAATCGGCTTGCGATCTGCGCATGCGCATCACCTCCGCAGAGCTCGAGCCCAACTCGGTCCTCACGGACCACGTCCTGGCCTTCACCCGCGGGCTATACACGCACCCAACTTGGAACTTCGAAAACCACCTAATTTTCGCCGTCAAAGGTCTCAAAACGTCCAGAACCGACCCTCGATTCTCAAACACATCGGAAAGCGAGAATCTCGACCTGGTCATCCCTTACTTCAAGTTCTTCTGGAGACTTTTCAGAGGCCGCAAGACGACGATCTGCCTGGAGACGTTCTGCGTTTGGCACGACTCCTTCACCAACCGCCTCCACCGCTACTCCGGCCACCCCAAGGAGACATACTTCGACTTCTCTCTACGAAACCTCCACGGTCGCACCATCGGGTATTGCTACCGGGATAACGAAGCGCTAAAGACGGACAGCCTGATGTTCTGGAACCTGTGGAGCCAGATCCTCGGCACCGCGCTTTTCGAGCTTCCGAGAATCCTGAACTGCACCGTCACGGCGTTCGTCTTCAGTCCCGATGCGATCGAAGTAGACGAAGGTCTCCGGAACGCCATCGATCTGATCGTGCACAATGTCGGTTTGGACTCGCTGAAGAAGAATCCGTCCGAGGTTCACTATTCGACCACTATCGAATCCTGCTCGCTGTTTATGGTTGCCCCACGTCGCGGATTCTTACCTCAGTACTTGGCCCCTTTCTCGGCTTTCTCGCGCTTGACCTGGGCGATGATCCTCCTAACCGCCATTATCTTCCTCGTCGCGCAGAGATTGTACCTATCCACTCAGTTAAAAGCGTTCGGTGGACTGTACTCGGTGGCAGAAAAGGACACTTTGAGCGGGACCTCGGCTTTTTTCACAGTTTGCGCGTATTTCCTTTGCGGGAGCCCGCCGAGACTCGTCCTAGGGCGATTACACACCGGAAAGATTTTATTCCTCATCTTCGCGTTCACCGCACTCATAATCGGGACACTCTTCCTATCAAAAATGCAGACACTCTTGAGTGCCAGGGTTCGTGAGCCGGATATCGAGACCTTCCAAGAGCTAAAGGACTTGGGTGTCTACATCCAATCGACTGGGAGTGAGGCCCAAAGGGATCTCTTCAACGAGTTGAACGACACAGAGTGGCTTGGAAATAAAGTAATTGGGAGTTTTTCAACTTATACCGATGCCTTGGTCGATCTGGGGCTCAGCGTCCCAGACGAACAGGCTTCCGATATGAAAGGTCTCAATTATACCGATGTGGTCGAGGGTTATTTTCAAAACGGAACGCGTTTCTTCAAGCGGAACCTTCGAGCCATGTGGGAGACAGACGCGTTTCTCGTTAATGTTCCGAGCAGCGCGGTGCTCTCCGATGGGAATTTGCTCCTCACCAACTTGTTCACGGAGGATGTTCTCGAGTACCACTGTGTGGAGAAGAGCCTTGTGACATACCCGCTCACGTATAGGATTTTGAGACATTCGTTCGTCTTCGATGCGGTGGATGACGTCATCGCTCGTATGTTTGAGAATGGGTACGTCTCGCGCGTGACTGGGCGTGAGTTCCTGGAGGGACTGGGGATATCCTCCGGGGCGGCGCTCTCGTTACAGTCGCTATTAAGACCGTTCAGCATGAGGGACTTTCAACTGGCTTTTATCGGCCTCGGGATTGGGTTGTTCGTCAGCTGTCTCGTTTTCGTCGGTGAGATTGTCCGAAGTGTGATTAAGTAAACAATTACACTGCCCAAGTAGCAAAATGAAAATGTTTTATGGAAAAAAAAATTAATGAAAAAAATTTAGAAAAGAGAGAAATTGTAGCTAGCATGTGGAAAGTAGACGGAAAATTTAAAGGGAGTGTCACTATTTACCAAAGAAAAGAGGTCTATATCCAGGCTATAAAATGGATCTTTTCTCCGACTAGAAAATTGATAGGGACATTTTTGTAAGAAAAGATATCAAAAAACCTGATGAAAAATAGAGAAAAATTGGATATTTTCTTTATCTATTTCTTAGAAATTTAAAATTCGGAAAACAAATAGAGAAATAATTGCTTAAAGCGTTGCGGCGCGGCAGGCAACCAGCGTGACACACGCATAGGCGCCTACAAACCTAACGGGATACTTCACGCGTCGCGCAATGCGTCAAGTATCCCGTTAGGTTTGTAGACGCCAGTGCGCGTTCTGCGCTGCTATCACGCCGCTCCAATCTGTGTTAGGCTCTAATATTTAAACTCGCGGAGTCAGCGTTTTTCAACTCATGATTTTGAAATGTTTGCACTTTCTGCATTGATTATTTCCTTTTAAACTGATGCAAAAGAAATATGTACTACTGGAAAATATAATGTGTTTTTTGCAAATATAATAGTCGTTCCGTGTCAAATGTAATGATTTCTAAAGCATTCAAATTTATTCTTTTATGTTTTGGCCTTTTACTGTGCTGCAGCGTGGTGTAAGCGCAACTAAATATTCAAAATTGGACGTATTTAACTCAAGGAGGTCGATGTACAAATAAGTTAAAAACCAAAAATTGCGTGCTTCTTAGTTTTTTTCCTCTTTTATTAATTTTTGTATAGTTTCTTTCATCACAACTACGGCTCATTGAGATTCATATCGATGCCATTGCTTGGAAAAGGTTTTACAAATATTTACCACGTTTTAAAAATGTAAATGTTTTTAAAATGAAGTATTCATTAAAAAAAAGAAAGTGCATTTAAGGCATATTTTATATCGGAAATTTCAAGGATAGAAATGAAACCCTGTATTTACCAAAGACAATTAGAAAAGATGAATGAAAAGAAGAAATTAACATTTCATTTAAAATATGAGTTACGATAACAACACCTCATTCTCTCTTAATTCTCTCATTTCTATATTGTCAATATAATTTTACACACGGACTAAAATATGACGCTTGAATTTGATTTTAGTGGACTCTATATTTGTGGACTTAACTTAGTGGACGTTTAAGTAATGGACTTAACAATAATGTGGGCTTTAGAACTATGTGGACGTAAAAATTGTGGACGAAAAGTCTATGGACGTAAAAAAGTGGACATACAGTCCGTGTACCATCCTTTTACGAGATAACTAATGAAACTACTTTTAAAACATCATAATTTCATTTTAATGAGGATTTGCGCTTTTAAGGTATTGTCTCCGCGAGCCGTTTCGCGAGATTTGTCCCAGGGAAAAATCCCACTTACGAAGTTGGGAAAAATATTGAGTTAATCAATATTTTTCCCAGTACCAAGTATGGTACTTGTACCCCTAGGACCCACTGAGAGAAGAAGAAGAAGTGAAAACGAATTGTGCGATATTTTATTCATCACTACATTCTTCATGTTTGTTTAGTTAAAAAATGTGTCTAATTGTCAATTGAGTGCAATTATTATTTTAATCCCGGTCAAATAATCGACTTTAACTAATTTATCTTCCCGCGCAAACTAGTCACAGGACTGCAAAGAGCCCCGTCCCGGGGCTACTAACCTAACTGGGAAAAATCCCAGAAGTTTCATTCCTGCGATTCGAACTTGGGAAAAGTCCTATGAAAACGTCCCGTGGAGACAAGGCCTTAAGTTTTTAAATTATGTCCGACCTCTCCCATCGACTCGATCCACTGTGTTACGCCAGTGCGGACATCCGATTGGACACATACCTGTCACAGATGGGTGGGTAATCCTGAAGCGCGAAATCCGCAAGCCCCTCGGCGGAGGAAGACGCCGGCGCCGGCGTCGCGACGCTGAGCGCGACCAAAAGAATCAGGAGATCGACGAACATCTCGAGGCGCACACCGCTCGCGAGTGAATCGACGCCCCGATCGCATTTTCCGACGAAACTTTCAGCGTCTCACATTTTCCGACGGACGTCACGCGACTGAAAATTCGGGAAGATTGAAAATCGCTCGCGTCGGGCGTCGCACGGAATCGGACCCGAGACACGCATCTCGCCGATTCGCGCCGATCCGAAAAAAAAACTAACGCCCCACGTGTTGCCGAATTTCTACGATAAAAAACGAAATTTGTTTTCCAAGTCTAGAGATCGTCACCATCTTTGCCGTGCTAAGGAAGAACGCCGTATGAACCATCAACAAATTTCCCTCAACAAATCACGAATTCTCAGGAAAATTTGTGAATATTTCCTCTCCAATTTTGTGGAGGATTTCGTCAGTGATTTTATCTAAAATATCTGAAAATTTCAAAGAAAATTATGAATAATTTTTCTAGAAAATACGTATTTTATGCGGGGAAAGTCGGCAACTCTCGAATGTTCATATGGCGTTTTTCCTCAGCACGGCAATTCTGGCCATCAAAGTATCACAAGTGCCATGCGACGTTTAAGAATTTCCGCAGCCGTTTTATTTTTGCAGTGAAATTGTTTTACGAAGCTGTTCAAAAATTTCACTGAATATTGCCTGTGCTGCCGATAAAATTCACCGGAATTTTTAAACAGATCCAACCAAAAATTTCTTTGTAAAAAAAAAATTTCTGTGGAAATTTTTAAAATTTGCATGGTGCTTTTGATATTTTGGCTGGAAGGTGACGAGATGTTTCTCTCCGCTTGAACTACAAGAGTTGTTTTCAAGAGTCTGGACTCTAGATCCAATGTGTTTTTTTTTTTCCAGTGTATTTCCCCAATATAGGGACACTACAAGGCATTCTGTTCAGCTTTTACAATATCTTCTACAAAACGCAAAATCTGTTTAACGAGCTGAAATATCATATAGTCTTGCAACGTTGGGGGAAAACATAACAATTGCAATCGAAGGAGTCCACTTGAATAGGCACTCGATAAAGTTAAATCTCAGACTTAAGATAAATCATAAAAAAACAGCGATTTCTCCGCGTTTTTGAAATGAAAAGATAATCAGCACGTTGCCTCACTCTATCCACCAGCGATTGTGTAAAATTTTTTGCGGATTATATGCAAGTACACGACTGAACAGGATAATCAACGGTTAAAGTGTTAAGATGGATACGCAGCACAAACTGGAGAGTTGCATGTGTCGCTTAAAAATTAACGATTCTGATATTTTTTACCTCTTTATTTCTTATTTTTTGCATTATAAGCGTTTGAAATGATTTTCTTAAACTCCTTTTCAAAGCAGAAAAACCTAAAGAAGAAAATCACAGTAATTTTCCACGCCTAAACTGGAAAAAAAACACATTTGATCTAGAGCCCAGATCCTTAAAAACATTGACACGAAAAAGGACTCTTGATTCAATCAGATTTAAGCTTAAATCAAGAAGCAAGCCTCTTAATTTGAGCGGATTTCCTTTTGATTTAAGCTTAAATCTGATTGAATCAAGAGTCCTTTTTCTTGTCAATGTTTTCAAGAGTCTGGACTCTAGATCCAATGCGTGTTTTTTTTTTCCAGCTTAACTCTGCGAAAAATAGTAAAGTTAGTACCATGTTAAAATCAAGATAACATCGTATTAGTACCTACCATGCTGATTCTCGTTGCACAGCAATGAATGACACTTAAGCGGTATTAACGTTTCTGCAGGAATTTCCTATTTTAAAAAAATGGTACCTATTGATGTTTTCCGTTAGTTTGAAATAATAGAAATCTAATGGAAGAAAAATATTTTTATATAGTTTTCCGAATATTATTCCACTAAAATAAAAAATAAAACATTTCCACATAAATAAATAAACATATAATAAGACCACTTATCTTTGTTTGCTGAGCTGTCATACTTCATTTTTTCCTTGAGAAACTATAGTCAACGCATTTTTTGAGAACCTTCTTGATTTTTTCTTCTCTGTTAGCAAAATACTCTATATCGACGGTGTAAGTCGGCAATCACATAACTCGGTTTGCGACGTCGCAGACTTCCTGTTATACTTTATTTTTTGAACGGAAAACTACTCAACGGCAATTCTTTAAAACTGCCGTGATTTTTCTTCTTTGTGCGAAGAAAATTCTGCAAAAACTTCAAGGAATGATATCAATTTGTTCTCCTTTAAAAAATTAACATAGAGGCGGAGATTTTCAGACACCGCAAACGAGTTATGTGATTGCCGACTTACACCGTCGATATGAATTTCAAGCCAAAATGTTTACTTTCTCCTCTTTGAAAATAAGAAACTAAGAGCTAAAATTTTGAAACACCGCAATGCAGATACGTGCGGTTTCGCATTTTAGCCATCGATATCTCCGACATCGGTTTCAGTGGTGTGGCGTGTTTTGCGATATATCGATTGATCTGCCATTAAAATGTATGGAAAATGATCGATTATCAAGGTATTTGCAACGAACACCTTGATAATCGATTCTTTACCACAACTTCAAATGGAGAAATATCGATAATATAATCGATCCTTCACGCCACGCCACTGCTCGGTTTAGATCCGCAAGAGTCATGAAGTTGTAACAATTTTTACAGTTTGTAAAAGGCAACATCCCTTTCACTTTACATGCACTTCAGAAAAGTGGTTAAAAGGTTTCATTGTCGAAAAATTGCGCGCTTCGAATTCTGACTTTTCAACCCGGAAAAAATATCAACATAATTTTTTCAAATAGAAAATTCCTGCATGGAGCCATTAAAAGTGCCTCAGAAGCGCCCACCTGACAGCACTGTCACAAATCTGCTCATCCAGGCACATATTTGAGGCGCTGAACTTTTCCACCGGCAAAAAGAGGTGACGCCGAAAAGCTTCAAACAAAAAACATGGGTGTCGTGCGTCGGCACGCGATGTTGATTCATACCGAAAGCGCCCCAATTTTCACTACGAAAGCACCATGAAAAGGTTACGAGATATCGATGGCCAAAGTGTGAAACCAAGTATATCCATTTACGATGTTCCACAGTGGGTCAGTTGCGCTGGTAACGAAGTCGTGTTTAGATGTGTGATTTTTATAGATTAGCTAAGAATAAGAAGATCTATCCAAGCAGCAACTTTCTACGTTGAATATCAACCGAGATATCGTTCTTTGAAAAGTCGGGTTTATGACGTTATCCACCGCGATAGTACACTGAAAAATAAAATCTCGGTGTGTTTACTAAGGAAAGGGTAAAATTACCAAGAATTCAGGGTTCTATTTGATCCCAGTTTTTTCTTGGTTAAATTACCATTTATGGAATTTCTCGGTAATTTTACTGGACCTTGGTAAAAACGCCAATATTTTTTATCGACTGTGGTAGAATTAACGATATAAAATGGCAAAGTTACCGAGAATTGATTACCAATAAGAGTGGTGTTCTTGCCTGTAAAAAATAGTAAAAATACGGGTTTTTAGGTAAGCTTACCAGTCTGTCTTGGTAAAATTACCGATAATTAATAAAAAAAGTGCGATGGTAAAGGTAACAACGGACCTTGATAAAAACGCCGAGAATTTTTTTTCAGTGTATATACCATGTCCATGTCCATGTCCATGTCCATGTGTGTGTGTGTGTGTGGCACTATCGCAGTGAATGACATTATGAACCCGACTTTTCGAAGGACGATATCTCGGTTAATGTTCAACGTAGAAAGTTGCTGTTTGGATAGATCTTCTTATTCTTAGCTAATCTACTACAAGAATGAAGCATAAAAACAAGATTCTGTGAACAGCGCAACTGGCTCATTTTAACTCCAATTTTATTTTTTCGAAGAAAAGAGGAATCCTGAAAGAGGAAAAATCAAGGCAGTTTCCCAAAAATTACGTTGATTAGTTTTTAGAGAGAAAATGAAGTACGACAGGAAGTCCGCAACGTCGCTAAAAAAGATACGTGGTTTTTCACTTAAGTCATCAAAAACAGGTGGTGTTTAAAAAAAAATTAAGGCCTCAAAAATTAGGTGTTTAGAGTTTACATACCTCGAACATAAAACATAACATCCATATCAATACTTCTTGTGATTTAGAGGTCAAATTCATGCCAAAAAGCAGTATGTATCCTCTCGTTGCAGTGGCAGCAATAAAAATTTAATTTTTGAACTTTAAAAGATAGGCCCGCAAACGGAGGTACGTGGTTTCGTACTTTAGCCATCAAGGTGTAACAGTCTATGAGAAAAATTGACCTTCGTATAGGAGGTAAAATTCTCAGAACCCAATTGGCAGTGATTGCGATAAATAGCGATTTTATCGCTATTTATCGCGTTTATCGCGATTATATCGGAGGCAATATATCGATATATTATCGCATTAGAAATTGCAATAAATGGCGATTAAATCGCTACAAATCGCTATTTTTGGTTCGATAAAATCGAGATCAATTTTGTCGATAAAATGGAGTAATTCGCCATTTATCGCGATTTTTATTTTGAAAATATGGCAATCAATTGTCAGGCGATAAAAACGCGATTTTATAGCGATAAGATCGAAGATAATCGCTCAAATTTTGATGATCCTGGCGATTTTATCGGCGATAAAATCGCAATATATAGCGATTATTCCGTTGAGAAATGCTACTTGGGAAGACGTATTTTTGCCCGGTTGGGTTGAAAAATCGGATTTTGAGATTTCGACTTAAAACACATTGAAGTGTGCTGAGGAATAACTGGACTATATTTTTCAATTTCGAACTAGCGTTTCTGGCTCATCCGTAAAAACACACATGTGCATACGTAAACTGAAGGTACATACGTTGTTCCTAAACTGAGCCAGAAATCGTTCCTCTCATTGCTTCAAAACGCAGTTTAACTTAAGAACTGTTTTTTCCTTGTAAAAAATGCCCAAAGTATCCGTTATTTCATTGGTTGCATGCATTCATCAGGGCAAAGTCCAGTGTTGGCAACCCGCAAAAGTCGCCACCACTCTGTTGTCATGACAGCCGGGACAACACTACCCGGCCGCACGCACACGAGACACGAGGGTAAGGCACCCCGAGCATGCTGTCATGCTGTCGGCATAGGTGAACTGCGTTTGTAGGTCGTTTGAATGCACAAGCACGCGTAATTTCATTTACCGTAAAATGAAAATTTCTGACAGGAGGTACACGCTGATCATATGTTTCCAGTTGGCGTTAGTGTTAATTGATATTTGTTTCAACGTCCTCTCCAGTGTGGTTTCCGTCAAGAAAGGATTTCAGTTGACCGGTTACATGTGAGTACACAAACCAATGCTTGATAATAAAGAGAACTGGTATGAATATAAAATGTATTTTAAAACTTTAATTGATTTGAAGGTACTTATTTGATTGGGTTCCTCCCGGAAAAAGGCGGCGTGGACGTCCAGTAAAAGGTTGGCGGGCGGGAGTTGAGGGGAGATCAGACGGTGTAATCTGCCCGATGATTTGTGGGAGGATCGATTCCGATGGCGACTTGGAGTCGCAGAGCGCTCTAGTGCGCTGAGGTAGCGGCTTGATATGTATGTATGTATGTAACTGATTTGAAAAATAAGGATTTTGAAAAAGCAGAGCTAAAGAAAAATAATAATAAAATAAATTCTGAGCTAGTGCCGGCAGACGGTGCCGGAGTGTCGACCTCAGGAGTGAGTAGTGTTAGCCGGTGAGTTAATCGCGAACCCCTTTTTCTAAATTTAGTATAACCAGTCCGGCATAATGGAGATGTTGCATGTGTGAGGAATTTGCGATTTGACTATTGATTCTTATGTAAAAGTTTGCGAGAAACACGATGGTGCCACTGGTTTTCTCTGAAATCAACTCCCAAGCTCAAAAAAGCTCTCAAGTTGAGGCCAAAATGGAGGAGATATCCCACACTATCCTGAGAGTCCACCTCTACATCAAGACAAACTCTCCATACAAAGATAGGGAGAAAATACATTGACAGGGCTGCCACTTTATTTGGGGACTCTGTAACTGAAGACACGGCATCACTGCTAATGTATTTGGTCCCTATCTTTGCATGGAGAGTTTGTCTTGATGTAGAGGTGGACTCTCAGGATAACGTGGGATATCCCCTCCATTTTGGTCTCAACTCGAGAGCTTTTTTGAGCTTGGGAGTGGATTTCAGAGGAAACCAGTGGCACCATCGTGTTTCTCGCGAACTTTTACATAAGAATCAACAGTCAAATCGCAAATTCCTCACACATGCAACATCTTCATTGTTGGGGTATTCGACCTATCGGTGTTCGATAGTTCCAATGTAAACATTGAAACAAGAAACAACCGCGAATCCTGACTTGGTGAAGCGCTCATTACGACGTTTCAAATTCCAATTCGATGACCAAAGTTCGAAACCGCGTCTCTTTTTTTTATCTTGTCGAAAACTGGTCAACGTAACTTCTTGAAAATCGGCATGATTTTTCTTCTCTGTTAGCGGAATTTTCTGCAAAAATTTCAAACTAAAAAGTTGACTTGTTTCTCTCCTAAAAAATTGAGCAGGAGCTTAAATTTTGAAACACTGCAATGGAGATGCGTGGTTTTGCTTTTTGGCTGTTGATTTGGCTATTCTATCAATTTACTCGAACGCATTTACTTTTGAAATTTTTGTAAATCCGCCTGCTGATGAGACGAATAGTTTCTGGTTATTCGTTAGGTACTTATCCATGTAATGCACGCCCTAAAAAAGGTACGGAAATGTACACTCGTCAATGGGGAAAAAAAATTGTGAAATGACTCCTCTTAATGTAATAAAAGCTGCTATGACTTTCATCTTTTCCAGTTAGAATATTTTCTCATGCTACTGGGTCCCTCATTCCTCAAATTCGTAAATCTCTTCGATTTTCTGAAATATTTATCTGGGCATAAAGTCCCAAGTAGCATGGGGTTCTATTTTCTGTTAAGCACTAATTTAGAAATTCTCTATTTTCTAGACAGGAAAATAAAATAGAGAGAAAATGGAAAGAAAATAGATGTATCAAATAGAAGTAAATAAATTATTAAAAAACTTCTATTCTCTGTCCATGTTCCGGGCACTAAATACAAGGAAAACGGACGATTTTGTTGTCAACATTCTGTGTTTTCTCTATCTGTTTTCTGAATTTTAAATTTCTAAGTAATGGATAAAGAAAATATCCAATTTTTCTCTATTTTTCATCAGGTTTTTGGATATCTTTTCTTAAGGAAATAGCCCTATCAACTTTCTAGACGGAAAAAAGATCCATTTTGTAGATAGGATATAGACCCATTAGCTTTGGTAAATAGTGACACTCACTTTAAATTTCCTGTCTACTTTCCATATGCTAGCTACTTTTTCTTTATTTTCTAAATTTTTTTCATTATTTTTTTTTCCATAAATTATTTTTATTTTGCTACTACTCGGGGTGAAATTCAATGTAAATGGAATAATGAAAATATTGCTGAGCGTGCAGTCTTGTGACAAGTGAAGAGCTAAGATTTTCCTTCTTTTCCGCGTTATACCACATCACATTCCAAGTCCGGAGTTCCAATAGTTGCGCGCTTGATTTCCGCATTCAACTCAACGTGGCGAGCAGTAAAACCGAATCCATATCCATAAACGCCAGTGAAAAACTAAGATTGCCCTCCATTTTTGCGTGATACCACATCACATACCTACTTTGCAGCTCGAACAGTTGCGCTTGTGCGCACATTCATGAACGTCAGTAGTTTGATATAAGTGGAAAGCTAAGATTTTCCTTCATTTCCGCGTGATACCAAGTCACAATGGATTTACTGAGGAGTAACATACTGAAATATGGAAGTAGTAGTCCTATGCACTGACACATAAAAGTGAACTTTTCTCTCTTCACAATCGTATACAGGTTGACCCAGGATTAAGCACGAATATTGAAAGAGTCGATTCTCTGAGTTAAGAAAAGGCGTTTTTGTGATGTGACTTTTTTTCCAAAAATGCTCTCCTTGGGGGCAACGGCCACGGCTCTCCAAAGTTGGAGGAAAAATATCGTCTTTTTAATACTGTGACAATGTTTATCAACAAAAATTAATGAAGATTGGTAACTATGGGTAATTCTTAGCGCTCTTTTCATTTTTAATCTCCGAAGAAGGAAATACTTATTTTTAGGGGGGTTTCAGGGGGGTATCGAACCTTAAAGTGGCCAAAATTGATGATTCTAGCGACAAAAATTGATTTTTGACGGCATCACTACATTCAGCGTTGAAAAATAATGCGATATTGTTTCTTGCGTCCTTTCGCCATGAGTCACTGTTTTTGAGATACTATAGACTAATAGGGGATAATAGGGGGGGGAGGGGTGATGGAGCCCCCAGGGAATGTGTTTTTGGGGAGAAAAAAGCCATACTTCAAAAACGTCTTTTTTGGCCCAAAGAATCGACTCCTTCAATATTCGTACTTAGTCCTATGGGTCACCCTGTCACGGAGAAAAAACCTCGTGCGTGGGACCTGAAGTTTAGGTCATATGGATCTCTGAAGTTTTCGGATTGAGCATCTTAACACTTTAGGTCTAGCTGTCGAGGTTCGGATCACACATCTGAGACTCCAGTTCTTACATCTGAAGTACTTCAGATGTGAGAACCGAAGTTTCTCGGATGTGAGAACCGAAGTTGTTCGGATGTGAAGACCGAAGTACTTCAGATGTAAGAACTGAAGTTTCCGATGTGCGATCCAAACCTCAGCAGCTGGACCTAAGTGTTCAGATGCTCAATCCGAAAACTTCAGAGATCCATATGACCTAAACTTCGGGTCCCACGCACGAAGTTTTTTTCTCCGTGTAGAATAACCCTGGTAAAAATTGGCGGTAGGAACTGCGTTTCAAAATACCATAGGAGTTCTTATAGCCGACTAAAGAAGGCTATTGAAAATCATATAACTGGTTGTAAAAAGCGGAGCAAATCATATAGCCGGGCTATACGAAGCTATAAAAAAGTATACAGTCGTTCCTGTCGCTGGGCTCTACTCTTTATCGCCATGGCTATAAAAGGCTACAAGAAAGTTTAAAAGTTGTTCGTTGAAGAAAGTTAAGTTGGCTATAAAAGGCTATGAGAAAGGCTATAAGAAGTTTGATACGGAACTACCTTAATATTTACAAAACACACATTATATTTTCCTTTAAAACGTATTTTTTTCATCAATTAAAATAAGAATAATCCATACAGAGTGTGCGAAAATTTCAAAATCATGAGTTGAAAAACGCTGACTCCGCGAGATTAAATATTAGAGCCTAACACAAAGCGGAGCGGCGACGCACTGGCGCCTACAAACCTAACAGGGATACTTCACGCATTGCGCAATGCGTGAAGTATCCCTGTTAGGTTTGTAGGTGCCAAAGTGCGTTTCGCATTCTCTGCCCGCCCGCCGCGCCGCAGCGTGCCACGGCGTCTGAAGCAACTATTTCTCACCAGAGGTATTGCACAGTATCATAAGAAATTGAAGGCGCTCCAACATATTAAGAATGACAGGAATACTTCAAAAACACGGAGCTTTCCTCGCAAAATAAATCAAGATACTACGGCACAAAAAGAGAGCGGTAGTCCAAAAACTAACTAAGTCCTAGTATCCGTATTTAGTAACGTTTAGCATAAACTTTATCGCCTGGCTGTTGCTTAATCGCTATCGACTATGAAAGGCTATAAGTAATTGTACAGCTGGCTTTAGGTCTATAATATTTTGGAACACACATTCTACTGCCACTTTTTATCAGGGAAATGAGACTAATTCGAGTTTCCTCGGCGCATATCACGGACGAGCGACGAGCATTCTGGTAAAAATGGTAACTTGCAGATGAAAAGCGTCTGTGAATAAGACAGACTGGTTCTATTAACAAATTTGGGTTTTCTTTTCAGAATCCAAGATGCTTTGCAGCTGGTTGCTTTTGTGATCTTGTCCATGAGCGTCTTCCAAACGAGTGTCTTTGAGGTAGGTAGAAAAGTCACGCATAATCATTCGTCAATCATATCATCTACCTCATAAAGTCGTGCTCAGAATTACTCCGACACATCCTCTCCTTGAGGAAGTCTTATCCATATCTGTTCCTTAAATAGACCACATATTGCAATTGAGAACTACAATGGACAACAAGACAAGGTACGAATTTAAGCCATCTGATACATGTTTCATAACCAGAATTTCACGTAGAACACAAGTAGTGCAACGAATATTACTGAAACTAACCTCCTAACGAATATTTCAACGTTTTTATTTCACATTGGTTATGAGGAATTTGAACTGCCCGCTCACAATAAACGCAAAGTTCTACGTGTGTCAAATCGCGTACCACAACGGTTTCAGCAAGCTTCTCAATCGAGCAATGTTCATTTCCTACCATATGTTGTTCAAACTATGAGCAATTTGCTATAGCTGAACCAAAGCGTCAAAATTGAGGCTGCCAGATTTTTAAATCGTAGATACTGCCATGATAACGTTTAGCGCGCGATGTGAATCACGTATTGCATTGAGTTTTCATGAGCGGGTGGTTTGAATTCACGCATCAAGAATCATTTAATTCCTTCGTAAGGAGTTGATTTCAGTAATTTTCGTTATGCTTATCGTGTTCTACTTGAAATTTTAATTAAGGAACATGAATCAGAATGCTGAAATTCGTACCTTGTCTAGTGGTCCATGTCTGCCTCATTTTAAGTACAGCATAAGTGTCGTTAGTTTCCCTATGCAGAAAGGAGTTTTTATCTGTGAGCCAGAAATCATCAAAATAACTACCCTAAGAGTTAGGATTTAGAATCAAGGACCATGGATTTTTTTCGATAAAAGGGAAAATAGGAAAATAGGACTAAATATAATAACGCGACGAAATTTCCCGTGATTTCAATGAATATCGTTCTTAAAATGATTGTAAATTTTTTCAGAGAATCTGTGCGTGTCTTTTGATAAATATTGATAGAAATTCAAACATTAACTATGGTTTGCAACGTTGCAATCGAGGTCAATAAGCTCTTTCTCGCGTGGAACCATCGATATTCTAGTTCATTTGGGGCAGGCGTGACATACAACTATTTGACCACGGGTGTAGGCATGTTGCAGCTCCGCCGGATTGAAGGCGCGTCAAACTGCGAAGATGTCTTCACCGCCTGTTTCTGCTATTTCGAGAAATACGTGTTTGAAGTTCCGAAATTACATGACAGAAAGAGAGCTAGAAGTGACTTTTTATGTCAAAAATTGGAATTCGGGAGCAAATTTTAAGATTAGTTTCACTTGAAGTCATTAATATCTCAATTTTTTCAAAAACTGCACTTGTGCTGCTTTTCATCCACACCCCTCATTTCAGGCTTCCTCAAACCTCCCTTTTCACCCAACCCATGGACGTCCAACTGCAGAACTTCATTTTTACCGAAGCAAGATCTTCACGAAGCTTCTTTTTCTTCTTCTCTTTTCTAGGCCGGATTCGTGGAGCTTTTGTACAAAAAATTTCGGATCACGATGCTGACGGCGTCGATCTACTTCTTGTCGACGGTGAGCTTTCAAAGTTACGATATGATTCTTCGGTGGTCCTCCTCGTCCCCCAGCCCTCGGTGTCCGTACTTATCGGCTTTGCAAGTTTTACAATGGACAGGTAAATTTTTAGTCGTGCGGCGAAGCCGTATGCATTCGGAAATCGACCGTATTCTGCAATTTGGGAACTACAGTTTCTGGCTCAGTTTAGAAACGACGTATGCACCATTAGTTTCCTTACACACATAAGTGTTTTTACTGATGAACTAGACGATTATGTAGCATCGCATCCAAGATATTGGACTCCATGCTCACCCTTGATATAATTGCCTGCTCATCTCGTCCGAGATCTTGGACTCCATGCTCAGCGCTAAATTTCTCACTTCTTTGCTTGAGCATGGAGTCCAAAAGCAAGTAGACCTCCCTTAGTTTTAAAGTTCATCATGATAGAAAATCGTATACTTGGAACTAACCTAACCTAACCTTTTTTGCAAAAATGAACCACTATCTTTTGCTCTCCTATAAAAGCACATATCTGCATAGGGAAACCAATGGGATGTATGTTGTTTCTAAAATGGGCCAGAAATAGAGGTTCCTTACTGCAAAATGTAATCCAAATGGAATTCTTCATCATCAAAGTCATGGTTCAGTTTATTATTCGATTTAATACCACCCTTGAAAAATTAGGCTGCTAAGTTCAGCTTCGGAAAATTTTGATCGGCTGAAATTTTGATTTGAGCTTTAAATTCTGAAGAGCAAATTGAATTTTGAAAAGTTACTTCGTGGTTTTAATTTATCTTGTCTTCCGTGAATGACATTTCCGCTTTTTCCAAATGAGGAGAAGGCCACAAAGTAAGTATGAAATTCGTATCTTGTAGCCTGACTGGGGCTGGGCCAATGATTTGCCTTCAAATAGCCGGCTATGCAAAATGACTGTCGTGACGCACGAATAGTGGTATCAGAATTTTGCATTAAGATTAGGGAGTAGGTTAAAGGCGCTTTTCTGTAGCCCATGTGAGTGACCCTGTTCAATGATGTTGACCAAAAATGTTCATAATTTTGGAGTCTTCAATAGAGCCGTAATTTTGAAAAACGTCCGAAGAAGTTTATTCTGATTATTAAATAATAATAATTTTTTTTGTGTGTGTAAGTCCTGTTCAAAAAATGAGGGCCTAAACGTTCGGTTCAGATTGTGGTTTTTAAGTCTTCTTGCCTTGGTCATCGTAAGTATTCTCATGCAAAACTGTGAGAGTTGCCGAGATAGCAACTTATTCAAAAGCGGTTGTGAAATTCAATAAGTTTCGCGAAACAAGAAAAATTGAATTTGAGATCTTTTTCTCGTATCTTTACGTTTTGAATTAAGGCATCATTGGTGTCAGAAACTTCCACGTAATTGTGAGAGAATGCTTCTTTAACACATAAAAATGTCACTATGAGGTAACTTTTTCGTCTTTGATGTTCTTCATCTTGTTCGTGTTTTCAGTTGCGCCGATTCACTACTACTCATACAAGCGTGCCGCACTAAAAATAAGTGATCCGAGGTTGTATCGAGACGATTGGATCAATCATCAATTGAATCACATTCGCTCATGATCTGAGAGACTTGCGGACAGATTCCATGGAATCCTTAGCCAAATTGTGCCTACTCCATCTTCCAACGATTCAAACCAAAACTGCGTCAAAAATTACACAGGAAACCTTACAATTAATGCTACTCGGTGTTTTAGTAGGCTGAAATTCCTATCTGCTTGGACTTAACAAGCGTCGTCGCTCCAGAAAGCCGTTACAAAAATGACCTTATTTAGCGAACAAAAAATATCCATGCGAGGTATACTGCCGTGCTAAGGAAAACGCCGTATGAACATTCGAGAGTTGCCAAATTGTCCTTATAATATGTTTATTTTTGAGGGAAGTTATGAATATTTTTCCTTTAAATTTTTAGAATCTTCGGGTAATATTGTGAACAAAATTATGTGAAAAATTGGAAGAAAAATATTGACAAATTCTCCAGAGAATTCGTGATTTACCAAGAGAAATTTGGCAACGCCTGAAGGGTCATACGGCGTTCTTCCTTAGCACGGCAGTGTAATACATCGATGGATGCGGAAGCAAACGAACTATCGAATAGCCAGCTTTTTTATTCAAATCAAAGTAGAGCCCTTTTGAGATATACTTATGCGAAATTGTAAAAATTGATAAATTTAGAAATGGAAAAATAGGCAAAAAAAAAGTCATCAAATAGCATTGATTGTTGTAAGTAGCAATCACACAATCAAATTGCAATTTTAATGAAGATACTTCATATACCTCCAAGAAAAAAAGTACCTACGATTAAGTTGCACTCCTACTGTGATTTTTAGGGTTTCAGGACATTTTGTCAACGATTTTTTGTCCGCGTATCTTTTTTGTCCAGTAGTTTACGCCCACACGTAGAATAAGCAACGGTGACTTGGTCCAAGCGTTATATTTTTGTCGGTATGTAAAATTATATTGACAATATGGAAATGAGAAATTGAGAGAGAAGGAGGTGTTGTTATGGTTGTTCATTGTATATATGAAATGTTATTACTTTCTCCTTTTGAATCATCTTTTTAAATTGTCATTGATGAATATTTGGTTTTATTTCTATCCTTAAAATATTCGATGTACGATATACCTTATATACGTATAGGTAGGTACTTTTTTTATTTTTTTTTAAATTTTTCTTTACAAAATTATTACTTCATTTTGAAAACATTTATATTTTTAAAACGTGACATATATTTGTAAAACCTTTTCCAAGCGACATTAATCTCCATAAGCCGCAGTTGTGCCGACAGAAACTGCAAAAATGAATAAAAGAGAAAAAAAAACCAAGAAGCACGCAATCTTTAGTTTTAACCCATTTTTACATCGATCTTTTAGAGTCAAATACGTCAAATTTTGAGCGTTTGGTTGCGCGTACACCTCGCTGCAGCACATTAAAAGCACAAAATGTAAAAGAAAAAATTAAAGTGCTCTGGAAATCATTAAATTTGACACGGAACCACCAATATTTAAAAAACACACATTATATTATTATTCTCCTTTGATAAATTGATACATATTTTTTCCCCATCAATTTAAATGAGAATAATCAATGCAGGGTGTGCAAACATACCAAAATCATGAGTTAAAAAACGCTGACCATGCGAGTATAAATAATTAAAGCTTAACAGAGCGGAGCGGCGTGCTGCCAGCGCGAGAGGCTCACTGGCGCCTACAAACCTAAGTGGATACTTCACGCATTGCATAATGCTTGAGGTATCCACTTAGGTTTGTAGGCGCTAATGCGCGTTACGCGCTGGCCGCCCGTCCGCGACGCCTGAAGCAACTATTTCACAACAGAGGTGTTGCACAGTATTATACGAAATTGAACGTACTAAGAATGACAGGCATCCTTTAAAAGCACAGATCTTTCCTCGCAAAATAAATCAAGATAATTATCGTACACTGGAAAAATCTAAGAGCCTTCAGCTGAGGCAAATATAGAGGTTTATCCGGTTCAGGTATAACAAGGTGGGAAAATCTTGAAAGATAATTAAGTCCTATTACACCAAAGAGGTGTAGAGAGTTTTAGTGAATTCCGCCATTTTTACCAAAACTCTCAACTATGTATTATTCTCCGTTGGACCAAACAGACAAAACAAAAAAAAAACAAGCAAAACCTTCATTCTTCCAAGACATTTGCCATTTTCATCCAAAAACGTCGTGAGCAATTGTCGTTTCTATTTACATATGGGCCAATTAACTTTGGGTCTCAACTGGCACGTGGACCAAAACTCCCGTGCCGAAAAAACGCGTGGACGTAAATTGCTGGACTGAACAGGTGCGCGGACAAAAAAATCGTTGACGAAATGTCCTATAACCGATTTCCAGTAGTGTATGTTGCCTATCCTGGCAATTCAAGGCGATGCAATTATTTCTCTGGTGGGATTAAGTTGCGATTCCTTGAGAAGTTGCGTTTTTCCTGTCTCTCTGATCTGGACGAGGACATAATAATATGCAATGAACATAATGATGCAAATTGGACAAATTTTAATTATGATTTTCAGTTTCATGGCAAAATGATTCCAATGGAATGAAACTGTATTGCAACAGTTCCTTGGGTAATATTCCAACTTGGAAAGTATTGGGTACAACCAATTTCCATATTTTCTCTCCTAATTGCAGGCTTGTTCGGTGCTGGAAGGTTGGTTCAAAAAGCTTTTACTTTTTTTTAGGCTTCTTGTCCTTACCGTAGACACTGAACAACAATTCGAGGAACATTAAGTTTTTAATGTTCATACCCCTTTTTTACTGTCAGAACTCACTGGATCACTTCACAATAATGATACATGAAAAGAACAGCGCCAACAAAAGTTGAATTTCTCTTAGATTCAGCACTTTTTGTATGGTCTACGATAAGGACAAAATTAACTGTTTTTTGTTAACGTAGACTTTACAAAAAGTGCTAAATTTGAGGAAAACCCAACTTCTGACAGCGCTGTTCCATAAATTTATCATGAATATGAGGTAATCTTTTGAGTTCTGACAGTAAAAAAGGGGTATGAACATTTAAAACTTCATTTTCCTCGAATTTAAGTTCTCGTTCAGGGTCTACGGTAAGGCCAAAAAGTCTTAAAAAAGTGAAAAATTGATTTAACCAACCCTGGAATGACCTTCTTTCCGAACTCAAGATGTGATTCAATTCAAGTTTTAAGCAAAGGTATGAACTTTGTGTACATATGAGTAGATATTTTGTTATCCTAGTTTGCTGTAATGTTATCTTTCAAATTATTGTTTCCTTGTATTAAATATTGTAGTAATTTGTAATTTAAATGATTGTTCGCTTGTAGATTGCGTTTAGAGACTGTTCATTGCTTAATAAATAAATAAATATTTTGTACATTATGATGGATAAGGAGATAATCAAATTACACCCCAAGGCTATATATTACTAACAAAAATTTATTTTTCATAGAAAAAATTATTCAAATAATACAAGAAAAATAATACTCAACGGTATTATTCATACATAACAGTTTTTTAGATCCATAAAAACAATCTCATTTGAGAATTTTTTTGCTAGTTGATAGTTTCAGATGTGCGTGAAGCAAAAATTGAACAAAATAGTGGTGAAAAGCAAAATGTTTCATTAATGTAGGTAAACATTTTTAACAGCTTTATTTGCTTTACAAAAAAGCAGGGGTAAAATAGAATAGTGCATCAGCGATAAAAGTGGCTGATTTTATAATTAGTGCTTGCTGTGGGAAGTTGAAAGATGAACTCAAATTTAGAAAGACATAGCTTGGCATTCACAAAACACAAGAGTGAATAATATTTCCAATCATATTAAGTAGATTGTAAAGAAAAGTGGAAGGCTGCAGGATATCTTCTTCCAGGAAATTAAAATAATCCTGATCAATTTTCTTGGCCATTAGAAACAAAACCTTTTTTCATATTAATTGGAAAGATTCCTGCTTTAAATGCACAGTTTGTAGGAACTATGACATTCTTCCTTAATAATTGAAAAAGTCATTTGCACATAGGGCAATTCAAAAATCCTGTACCTTCAGCTTCTTTCAAAAAATTGAGACAGGGACTTGAAATTTTGTGAATACTCCTTGCGCAAAGGAGACAAGTTCAAGGAGTTCAAGTTTTGGGAAACCCCCAAAACTTGAAGGGACGACCCCGAAAATGGGCAAGATCCCTCAGTTTATAGAGGTGATGCAGAACTTTTTGATTACCCTGCATGCATGAATGTTTATTTGAAGAGGGGAAGTTTTCACTGCCCTTGCAAAAAGTTGGGAAGATTATTTACTCTCGATCAAACATTCGTAATTCTATAAAAATACACTCCTGTCCATTCACGCTTGGAATAGTTGATAGTGATGATCATAGAGGATACTTGTGCGTTTGGAACTCCTGAATTCGGAAATGTGTACAAAAGCTAGGTAACTACATACGCACAATCACATACTGTAAATGAAAAAAAAAAAATTATATAGTAACATGGAATCGGAACTGAAGAATTCGTATTTTAGCTGTCAAGCAGAATTTAACATGATTTTCATGTTTGGTGGAATTTTAAAGATTTTCTTGGAGAGGTAAGAAAACACAAGAAAAAATTGTAAGCCAGATACATGTAAATACTCCCAAAAGAATAAAAACGATCACGTACTCATGTTACAATAAATTTGTGAGCTAATTATTCTGGATTATTTAAAACTTAACATCCGATAAAAAATAAAGAAAATCCCCTCGAAACATGACGCAAATTTCAAAATGAAATCTTTGCAATTATTATCAGATTAGCTCTGCAAATAAATGAGGGATGAATCAATTCTTTTAGAATTATTTTTACCCGATTACTGAAACTGAAAAAAATCTTTCTATAACTGTGCATGAGACTAAAATACAAGATTTATCTTTTTACAAATTTTTATACAGATTACGACAATTTTACTAAAAATATATGCCGATAACTTTAGGTACAAATCAACTAATGGTTTAAAAAATTACTTAAATAACTACGCACATTTTTCCAGAAAATATAAAACTGATGCAATCGGCTTGTAAATTTTCTACATGTAGTAAACAGCTATCGTTAATTACACGGTTGCTTTACAAGTTTCATATTTTTTACTAAATTTTACAATACATAAAAGTAAACTAAAAATCATAGGTAAAGTAAAAATTGGAAAAAATAGGAATATAAACTAGGACGATGTATACTACGACAGGGATTTAGAAAAGTTACCAGTGGAATAACTCACGGAAAATAAGAAAAGGGACTTTGATGAGATCAAACGATCCTTTTTGTCCTTTAGTTGGCTGTAAAAAACTGAACAAATACAAAAAGAAAAAATATGATTACAAATTAAAACATTTAGATTACAAAATTCTAGTCAAGTGACAAAATTTACTAAACTTTTAATTAAAACACAATTGAAAAGGCATGTCCTTAGAGTTGAAGGCTGTTGATGGCTCGGAGCGATTTTAACTGACTTCCAACATAAAGGTTTGAAAAACAAGAGAAACCCAAATTTTACTTCAGAACATTCATCTAAGAACAAGATGCTTTTCATATCGAAATTGGTTCTCTTGATCTAACAGGCTTTCTACTGAGATAGGGAGAATGAAAGATTTTTGAATTAGCTGAGAACTTGAACGATTTTCCTGATCTACAATGGAGATAAATAAAAAATTGTTCAATTTAATTACGTAAAATGAAAAAGAAACCTTACAGTTTTATTAACAAGGAACTTTCAACAATTAATAAGCGCTTTAGTTCCACTTTTAAAAAGTGATTAGTAAGGCTATTTTAACGGGAAAGTTTAATCTATTGAGCAAGGCTCATTTAATGGCATTACGTTTGTTGTAGCTGATCCATAACGGAGAAATACCTTTTAAGGTTAAAGCCTGTTAAAATCTTCAATTTTGGACTAAAAATATCAAGGTATCTTTCCAGGTTCAAAAAAAAAAAAAAACCCAAAAAACAAAGAATTCGTGGAAAAAAGTAAAAATTGCATCTTCCCAGCAAATATTTTGATATTAATTTTCACTCATTGATCGACTGTGTATGTGACCAAATTAAAATCTCCTAATTGATATTTTCCGATTAGCAAAAAACAATAACAATAGCTTGAACAATAGCTTATTTTTTCTACCTTCCTCTAATTTTTTTTAAATAAACAATGAATGAGATCTTTTTTACAGACTAGGGTCTATTCCACTAAGAAGCATTTATCAATGATATGCATATTAGCAATGATTACACTGCTAATTGAACCAATTTAAAAAAAAAAAGTCATGATGTACACTAACACAGTAGCTGATGACAGCCTTTGTGATTTTTTATGGCCTCATTTCCATTAATTTATGACAAAGAATTCAGATAATTTGTTGTTACTGTTAATTGCTAATCAATTACATTCAATTGGAAGTATTTATGCTAAAAGGTACGACAAGCGTAGGGTTACCGTGCAGCATAGTTCCTCTTAGCGTAAATACGTGCTATTATCAAGATGCAATCCTGAGACACATACCATGGACTCATTGATAGTGTATGAACATACCGCTTTTTAAATTAAAACACAATAAAAAAACTTGACAAAGAAATGGAAAAAATTTCAAAATATAGGACATACCAAAACACTACGGATTGAAAAAATGCAAATGCCCTGTATTTTTAAGTGTGTTTTTGATAACACATGATATGACAAATTTGGCGCGAGGCTGAGACAGTTGTTGCGACTTTTAAGTTCTTTCGGGGCTATATGGTTCTTCATTTTACTGCACTGTACCGACTGTATTGTCATGAGAATTCGGTATTGCCCTTGCAAATTTTTAAGGCACAGTACAAAAATGAACTGTCTTAAGCTTTGAGCCATCCTAGAAGATTACAAACTGATTTCTTGCAATCACTTGAAACTACTTCAATAGACTAAGCAGGGCTGCAACATAAAGTGAATTTATGATGCACAGTCTTCATTTTTCCATTCATTGAAGAGCAAGAAAGAGAAGAACATATGGGGATGAAAGGTAAAGATATTGAGGAGATACAGAGATTTTCAGTGAATAATTGCGACATACTGAGATCGGTATATCTGTTCATAAAAATAGTAGGGGAGAGGCTTGAATTTTTGATAGTATTTGAATGTGCTTCTGATGTGCAATGTACAGGTACACATTTTCAACAGTGCAACAAAGCTGAGTTACAGATACCGTTGAAAATGGGAGTCCATACACCCACAAAACGTTAGTTAAAAATTTGTTTTACAAAGTCAAAACTTCTTTTTCTTTCAAGTGCTTTTGAGTTGTAGAGCTATTCCTGATTTCTTGGCAAATGAAAAGTTTAAGTTTATGAGTGCGAGGAATGAGGGGCTTGAAGGACAAGGCGCATCAGTGAATATTTTGCTATTTTGAGAAATAGGTGTTTGAAGTTTCAAAATCACATGGATCCTTATGGCAGAGAGAAATTTAAAACCGACTTTTTGATGCTTAAAAATTGGAAATTGGGAGCAACTTTTTCACAGAATATGCAAAAAGACTAATTATACTTGAAATAATTAATATCTCAATTTATTCAAAAACTGCACTTAGGCGACTTGTCCTCCAAGCCCCTCAGATACATTTAACAGAAAAGAACCAAGCCACATCAGCTACTGCCAAATTTAACAGGGCAATTTAATTTTTTACGAGAGAGCGTTTGTGTGGATTCCTTTGAAAATTTTAAGGAATTTGCTTCGTGCTATGGAGAAAATCCACAGAAATTTGCATGAAAATCCGTACAACCGTTCTCGTGTAAAAAATTAAATTGCCTGATTAAATTTGGCAATAGCTGATGTGGCTAGGTTCCTTTCTGTATAACGCAGTCCAAATTTTCTCTGAGCTGTGAGTTTAATTGGCAACGGTTGTGTCTTCCGCTACGGTTTTCGTGAAATTTTAATGAGAGGGCTTGGATTTTGATACTTGATTTAAACCTTGTCAAAGGACCAAATTCTAAAAATTGGATACATTATTTACGGCAAAAGTGCCTTAAATACTGAGGTAATATGGGAAAGAGTCTTGGAATAGCGAGACAAAGCTGAAGACTTCTTTTTTGCAGCTGATTTGTTGCTGACATGCTGATACTTTCCTAGTTAGATTAGTCAAGACAATATCAACAAAAAGAGGAGGACAAACTTTGGAATGACTTCCCTACCTAGGAAACAAATTGCTCCCCTGTTGAACTTGGTAACAATTTTCACCTAATCACCTACTTCAATCATAAACGGCAGTTAGTGATTATCACATGAAAAATAATTCTTAACACTATGAACTTATACTTTAAAAGGGAAAAAAGTTGAGAATAAAAAGCAACAATTTTCGGTGTCTACGAGGCTGTGTAACTTTCAAAGTTTCAAAGAGATGTCTCTTTGCATATTAATAGAAAAAAAACACTTGCCGGAGTAGCACAGTGCAATTGTGCAATGGCATCATTTTGTCAATGAATGCCCATATTAAACGATCAACAAAATGATCTCCATGTGTAAGAATAGTAGGTAATTTGCAATGCAAAGGGGCATTGCAACTTATTCCAATTTCGTTGGAATACATTTCAATGGTAGGAGTCCCTTCAGTTGGTTGGTAGGCAACAAACACGACAGACCGATACAATAGCAATAATTTTACCATGTTGTTGCAATTTATGGCGACCCGTGCTACTTGGCAAGAGGACCTCCATTTCAACTTTTCGGAGGAATCTTTTAGAAATTTTACTAAATTTGCAAGGAATTTTTATGTTGTTTTCAATGAGCCTCTTCGTTTCCAAAATACGTATGCTTGGAATGATGAATCAATTGCACAAAAGCATAACCACACTTTTTTAAACAACTCAAGAATCACTTTGCACTAACATTACTCTTAAAAGTTTCTATCGTTTTTAACCTAAACTGCATGGATGGAAATCAATGTTGTGAGGCATTATCCACTAAATTACCTCCAAACTTTTATCCTTGTAAAATATCAATGGTTAAAGACGAAAAATGCGTATCACAGATTGCAATGATGTGCGTCTCCTCTTGGACTTTTTTTTTTAAAGAAAAACTAACCAACAGTTTCTATTGTTTCCTGTATGTATTTCCTCCACTCATTCTAAAAAAAATCAAGCAAAATCGCAAAGAAGCATTTCGATTAGTTATTTTTGAAGAAGACAAAACTCGATTGAAGATCTTTAAACATTACAATTGAGATAACACATTTTTCACGCTTAACCATTGATACAGTCTTTAAGTATAACATTAAACAAAGGTAAAGATATCAAAGCTTGCAATGTCTGCCGGAAACTTGGTTAAAATCATGTTACATTTCAAGTCAGTGGATGAAGCCATTCATTTCACATTTCTTCTGACAATATCCTCTTCAAAACTGGAAACAGAACTTTGATGATCGGACTAAATTATAATGACAGCAATTCCAAACAAGAAGCCGTCAAATTTAATTTACATTTACTTAAGTATGCAACTGATTCATTCTATCAATAAACATAAAAATTCTTTGAACTGCGTTGGACAAAATTGGAACTTTGCTGACTCCAAAAAAAAAAAAAAAATTAGAGCACTAGATTGCTAGGAGTGAAAGGCTAAATAAAGATTTGCTTTTGAGATAATTTACAAAACAATATCAGTGATCAAAAAACGTCAATGTTTTACAAACAACATTAATTTAGATCATTTGAGTAGAAATGTACAACTTGTGCAGGGCTGGGCAGAAAGAGGCTTCACTTTTACGACTGCAGAAAATAGGAATTGAAGATTGACAATAAGAATTTCAGCTGAAATAAAAATTAATATTTTCAACTGAATTCTTCATAATTTTATCATATTCATTGAAAAGGCTTTAGTTGATGCTGAAAATGTTAGTTTTACAAAAAAAAAATCGAGGGAAAAAACACTTTAGACATTTTCCCGACATCACAAATTGAGACAGAGAAAAATTTAGAATTAAGAAAATATTACTCATCTTACTATCAATACAAATCGCAAAAGTAAGGCGCCTTCCTGCTGGTACCCCCAAAATATAACAATAACACCACAAGTAAAAGTAATAAACAAATATCACAAAAATAAAAAACCTAAAAAACGAAAACATACAAAAACGCGATGCTAGACATACCACTCTTTGACGTCTTTGACCTCCCGTTTTTTTGTTTTGGTATTTTTATAGCCGTTAAGCCCGTGCGGCATAGACGGCGACTGATGATTACCCGCTGGCAGCAGCGCTGTATTTTGACCGTGACAAGACTGATAACCCTTGCCATCGTCGACTTTATAGACAATATCCGAGCGTTGATTCAGCTTCAAAATCAACAAGATAATCAAAATGATAATGATCAGAGTTCCGGCTACGACCAGAATAACAAACGCAGTGGATTCTGCCGTTTCCGAGGTGATTCTTGTGGGTGGTGGAGGAGGTGGGGGTGGAGGGGGGCGCGGAGGGATGAAGGGTGTCGGAGGATACCACGGGGTCATTGTAGTGGTTGGCGTTGTGGGCGGAGAGGTCACTTCTGTTGTCGAAGATGTTGAAGGAGATTCTGTGCGTTCTGTTGTTAGAGAGGTTGGAGTGTGAGAATGGGAAACACCAAAACTGGACCCGTAACCACCCGTGAGATCCGTCTGGAAGAAGGATGTTTCTGTGGAGGGAGAGGTTGGTGCCGTCTCAGAGACTTTCTGCGAGGTTGAGTGATCGTAGGTGCTCGGGCCGAAGATGTGCGTTGAGCTGAATGAGTCGTTGCTTAGAGTTGTTTCTGTTCCTGAAAAAAAAAAATTACAATTAAAGAAAGTTGCACATCTTAAGTTCTCAGAAATGGAATAAGAGATACCTTTGGACCTTCCGGCTAAAGTATCACAAGCGCCATGCAATGTTTAAAATTTCCACCGCCACTTTATTTTTTACTAAATTTTCTTTGTTCTACTCAAAAAATTCAGTGAAATTTTCAAACAGATTCGACCAACAATTTCTCTGTAAAAAAATAAAGTGGCGGCGGAAATTTTTCGACTTAGCATGGCGCTCGTGATACTTTAGCCAGAGGGTGATGAGATATCAATGACTAAAGAAATTACATGCCAAAATGAGTAGAGTTCCTGTCATACTTTATATTTTTACTGGAAGACTACTTAAAATAAAATTGTGGGAGCTTTGATCATTATTCCTTTCTATTTGAAGAATATTTTGTGAAAATTTCAAAAAACGACATCAAAGCAAACAAATTTGAACACCACGATTTGAGAGATGCAGTTTCTGAGTTTATACAGCAAGATATTTGATTCTGGTAGAGTCAATCTGATGCAAAATTTGTACATCAAAGGAACTGAAAAAGTACACAATATATTACTAAAATGGCCTCTTGGCTAATCATGGTCTCTCCTCCCCTCCTCATTTCGATGAAGAAACTATAATCTTGCGGATTTTGCGATTTTATTTGAAGCGGTTGTGCAACTTAAAATTACAAAACTGAAAGATAATGATCAAGATACAATGGAATTATCAGATTGAGTGAACTAGAGAATGTTGTAATATTTTTGAGCTACCTGTAATTTCTCCAGCTCCTGAACCTGCAAAACAGTCTTCATCATCGCAGGGCTTTCCGGATTCTTTTGAGGATGTGTCACCTTTGGTTGTGACTGGCGGACGGGTTGGTGCTACATATACAGGCGTAATGAGATCATCTCCTGTGGAACAGATAGAAAAAAGTTAATTCCAGAAGGGACAAAACAAAATTCTAAAGCTTCGTCGGTTTCACTGGCTTATTTTACATATTAGTGATTCAGCTGATGAAACAACAGACGGATCGCCAATTAGGTGTTGATTTAATTCGATTTTTGAGTTATTGGGCATTCCTGAAAGACTTAGGCTCTGAATATTGTTGTCTAGGAAAAAGTAACGCCAGAATGCAATTCTAAAAATGTTTCAGTAGAGCTGAAAAATAATATTTTTATCTTACAGAGTTAGAATCTGATGTACGCTGCATTTTTTTAATGCTTCAATAAATCTTGGAGAGTTTCAATGTATAAGAGGCTCATTCGTTTTCTGTTTTTAGACAGGCACTATCTTTGAAGCCAACCCGTTTTCCCTGAGAATATTTCTTAGAGAGTACTATTTCCTACACAGGCGTAGCAAAGTTATTCTGCTAGGGGAGGGGCCTTCAGATGGGGGTGCAAGGCTTGTCCCCCGGAAAGTTTGTGAAATTGTAACTCTATTTATATGCATTTTGAGGCTTCCGTGACGTAAGTTTTTAGAAAATACTAGAATGAAGGTACTAAATGATAATTCATTTAAAACAATACATTTAAAGAGATGAATATCCTCAACAGAGGTTTTTTCACTTTTTTCCCACCATCCAGAATTTCTGGTGGAGGGTGCAGGTGATACTATCTTCAATTCTGGGGGAGAGCAGACCCCACTTGGCCTCCTTTTGCTATTCCCATGATTTTCTGGGTGGAAAATAAGTTTTTACACATTGCTGAAAGAGAAAAAAGTAAAGCCGATGGAACAAACCTGATCCTGATTCCAAAATTGATGTACACTGGTCTTCGTCATCTGTGCTACACCCTGAGCCGGCTCCGGAGAAAACCAAATCATCCATGATTTCAGGAGTGCCTGATGGCGGTGTCTGGATGGAAAAAACAATTAAAAATTAATTTTTAAATACTCTATGCAAAAAAAGAGCATTTATTATTTTTCATAATCTTTCAGGGAACTACTTGTATTTTGCCGATTCAGAGAAATGGATGAAAAGTTTAATAATGTAATGTTATATAAAAGCTAGTAAGAGGCTATTAAATTATTTAATCATGATTCATCATGATTTAAACATGGGAAATTATTTAAATCATTTAAGATGAAATGATCTAATCATCACTGATACATGATGAGTTTAAAACAGAGCAGATATGGAACAAACTATCAATTACGGCAAAATACACAATATAGACTTTAAAATTTCAAATGAAGGAAAATGCATACAGAATTTTTTCTTTTTCTTTTTTCTTGAAACTCACCGGTTGATCATGCTTAACATTACTTACATACAACAGTAATTGAATGGAAAAACCTTTGGATATTCATGAAAGCACCCGTATTTTCCTTTAAACCATTTTACCTTCTATGCGTAATCCAGTCAACGTGTTGATTGTTGACTTTTCTCTTTTCCCATCATTTTTAACTTGAAGCTTCTGAGAGAAATCAGGCACCATGCATAATAAAACACAGGGAAACATACAGTGTACATTCTGACTGTCACAAAATTCTCAGCTATCAGATTGATATTTTTAAGGTTATTAAAACTTTAGAATGACACGATTGATTTTCAGTATTTGTTTCAGATGAAGCTATTTCAGAGAAATTAATAATAAACATGAACCAAATGAGAAAAGTTTACCTGTTGCATGTGCAGATACGGATCAATGACTTTCTCTCGAATCCCAAAAACTTGAGTGACGTCTCCTCGAATTTCTATTCTTGGGTCTCGTTTAGCGCTAAGGTCCAAGAGACGCTGACCATTGAACACAAGACCTGTTATTATTCCTTGATAGGGCTTTTCGATTCGCTGCATGGACCGATTCCACTTGCCACCGATTTGGATGAAGGCTTGTTTGTTGAACACAGATAGCTGGTAGCCTGTTGATAAGACACATATGTCAGTTATCAGTTCAGTCTATTATGTGACAGAAAAAAAGGCCTGACTCTAAGGTAGCAATTGTGTCAGAGGATTGATTCTTGTCTCATTGTATGTGTTGTAGGCATTTTGTAAAATGCCTAGGCAAATAGTCAAATAAATATTCTGAGTTAGATAAAAATTTCAGATTTTTCTCCTACTTATGAATAAAAAAATCATTGCTTCTGGAAGAAATAATTCTCTGTAAAAATGTGCATCTTACAATAGGAATTTCAACAATCTTTAGCTCCTGGGCGAACATTTATCTTAAAATTTTCAGCATGTCTTAAGATAAAGAATTGTTAAAATTTTAACATTAAAATATATGAAAGAAATTTGTAGAGGAAGAAAGAAGAAGAGTTCATAGATTTTGTAAGTTATGTTTTCCAAAATATTGAAAATTCGTGAGTTCTTTGCCATAAATTTACGAAATTTCGTAATCCGTCAAAATGTGACTATCTGCCTGGGCATATTGAAGAAATACCCAATTTGACTAATTGCCTGTGACATGTGCCGTAATAGAGCACATACTTAAAAAGGGAGAGTACTGCCATCTCAATCCTTTTAGAACAGAGAAACTGTGTTGGTTATTGATTTTTATGCAAGTTTTAGACTTTGATGGAGCTGCTTAAGGCCCAATTCAAGCAAATAATATGGCGGCACAATTCTAGGTGTTATAGGACTTTATTCACGTCCATGTTAATTTTTCACAAACTTTGAAAGATAATTTTCTCAGAATTATAGTATCATTAATTTTTCCCTTGCAAGATATATTCATTTGACAGTAGGAAAATGCAGTTTAGTTTTACCTGATGGATAGACACTATGTGGATTGTAGTCATCGATCTGAAGCGTGACATTGGGACCAGATCGACTTATGCGAGCAACGTGGAGGAAATTATCATTGACCTTGATGTTCGGATCTGTGACTGAATGATCTGCTGTGCCCATATTGTACAATGTAATTATAAGCCCATCCGTCTGTGAAAAGAAGAATGTAATAAATCATTTTGTGGGTTAGCAGAGAAATTTTCAACTTCAAAAAGGAATTTTATGACAATTATTTCCAAATCTGAAGTTAAAAGAAGACCCTAAAATACAGCAACTTACAGGGTACTTCTAATTAATTTTGTAATTTGTAATTTCATTTTCTAGATTTCTGTGATCAGAGACTCAGAGAGCAGGAGATACACCTAACAAAAAAAGGCTAGGTTATTTTTGATACTAGGCCATTTGAATGGGTAATTATGCCAACGAAACAAGTGTGCAATGATAATATATTTTAATGATAATTGATAGATTATTTACTGTTAACATTTTAAACGGATTTAAGTGGCTGTAAATGCGTAAAAAAAACATAATCTGAAAAATTTCTGGCACAAGTCAATCTTCTCACTTTACTTTACATTAAAGCAAACGTTTATGTTTGGTGCAAAAGTTAAAAATAGCATGTCAAAAATAAGATGCATACATAATTGAAAAAAAAAAAATATGATAACTAATCAGAGGTTAAGTAGGTGCTTTCACCATGAAAATTCAGTCTACATATAACTGAAGTCTCACTATAAAAAGATTACTTGACAATTAGACTTCAGTTTCAGATTGAATTTTTAGCGCATTGTTGGCAAAATCGCCAACACTGTACTCAAATTGTACATGTGTCAAACTGCTGTTATTTTTTCCAATCAAGAGTAACTTACAATTTTCAATTCAATGTAGTCGTGGGATGTGGCACTATCCACTCGAAACAGAACTGCATCATCTTTAGTTGTCGAAAATCCAAGAGCAAGTACATCACTCTGCATTTCTGGTTGTCGATCTTTTGGATACACAAAAGTGATCAAGCCTCTTTCCGGGCCCCATTCAAAAGACACAGACTCTAGAGCACAAATAAAAAGAGCATTTGAGCAGGTTTTCTTCGCTATTCTGTTTTCATTCATTTCTTTTTCGGGAAGAAACTTCATTTCAGAAAGAAATGTGAATGATCTGAACTATCCTTTTGACATAAAAGTAACTACTATTCTTTATCTTTATTCAAGGTATGGTAGTTAAGGCGCGTAGGCCCGCTGCTCAAGACAGCAACTGACATCGGCGCAATGATCAGAGAGAAGAACTCCATTGGATTTCTTTTGATGGATTGTGATGCCACCTTTGGATGTCAACTTACTGTGCACTTGAGCACCTGGACTGGTTATTGCTGTTGAAATTTTGGTTTAAGCAAAAGAAGAATTCATTCTTCGGCCGTAAAATTTTATTCAGATTTTCCGAGCCTCCTTGATTTGTTAAGCCTGATGTTAATATGATATCTTGATTTCAAAACTTTCTCATAATCAGGCTATGTTTGACCAGGGAAATCGGTTGTCATGCAGAATAATTGGAGTGCATTTTGTTAGGATGTGGCTAAAATTGTAGTTCAGATTTTCCTCGACAGATAGAGCAGCAAGACTAAATACTTCTGAGTGGAGCTTAGCAAGTAAGAGCGGAAATCCTTCATCTTTAGAGCATCTTCCTCTCTTATTTCTTGGATGGTTTAGCTAAACACAGATGCTGTGTTCGTTTTAATGAGACTGCAAATTTCCAACTTAACCGATACAAAAAAAAATCGCGCATAAAAAAAAATTCTTACCGTTCAAACAATTAGGTCCAGTGAAAGAGGTGAGATCACAGTCGCAAGTGAAAGTATTCCATTGCTGAACACAGACTCCTTTATTAGAACACACGTCAGGACGGCATTTAGTTTTATCACCTGAAAGAAAAATGAGAAAAAAAGATAAGAGCAACTCATTTCCTTCGATAAAATGTTTTTCTTTGGAAGCTACAGATTTGCAGAACATTAGGGTATCAATACATACAATTAATATACATCATACATACAATTTTTTTCTCTGTTTAACTACTTCGCCTTTCAGCTTTACTGATTTGCGGACAATGGATTTTGGATACCACTGAGGAAAATAAACATCAGAGTAGTGGTCAAATTCAATGGTGTAAATTATAGCAATGGATAAATTAAAAACTTGCTCACATTTTGATTCTGAAACATACTTCAACATTTTCACTGATAAGTTTCCATTATACAAGAATAATCTCATATTTTTGGAGGGAATTTTCAAGGAGTATTCTTACAAAAAATTTTCCGCCATGACTTAGATTGGCTGTCTTTTAAAAATAAAATATGACAGAAAACTGCAACATTGCAAATCAAGATTATGTCTTTCCCTACTTTTGACTTCAAGATTGTATTTCCGCCTGTCAAGCACACTGCCGAACTGACCGTTATGTTTAAATTTCAAAATTCTGACTACTCAGCTCATAATTTTCAATGGCCATTTGTTGTAATTTTTTTATTGTAAAAAAGCAGTCTTTTCAATTCTTATCAATGTGTTACTTGACCAATGGAACATTCAAAAAATAAGTACATTTTGGATGCTTGATCACAACAAGATTATTTAAAAGGAATTTTTCATTACATCCTACTTTAAATTGCAGCTACATAAAAACTACATGTTAAACAGACCTGGGATAGAATCAGAATCACAGCCTTTGGCGACTTGCAAGCTAGGAACTAAGGCATCTTGTAGAATATCAGGAGATTCACCGTTCATATCGAGACTGCCAAAGCAGCCCTTGAAACCATGCTGCGATACAATGTATTTCGGTAAATTTTGACTCATTTCTTTCGGAACTCCACCTATGAGAAAATAGAAAAAGGTAACTTTCACAAGAACGTCGAAGGAAACATGAAATTACTTTTCCAGACATTTCTATCTGTTAAAAAACCACTATCAGAAAATATTGAAGTTACTTGGCTGGATTATTAATTTGGCCAGAATTTAGATATAAAGAAATGCATTTATAGGATAAGAGGGTGTGAGCTTGCAATTTGTTGCCTTGCAATAAAGAGGAAAACTTAAGGTGATTCGATGGACGCCATATTTTGTGTCAGAAAGGCATGCGATATATCGCATCCATTGGTTCCATTTTTCAGCTACTCGTCATTTTTCTCCAATTTTGAGATCGCAATTCTGTTGTCAGGAGACTAAAGCACTCACTTACCAATTTTAACAAAGAAATTCAACATAATAAAGGCGTGGTTTTTTTGGAGAGAAAATATCGCATTCGAATGCAGTTTCGATATCAGTATCGAATGCAATGTTTTCTCTCTCAAAAAACTACGCCTTTAGTACGTTGAATTTCTTTGTTAAAATTGGTAAGTGAGTGCTTTACTCTCCTGACAACAGAATTGCGATCTCAAAATTGGAGAAAAATGACGAATAGCTGCAAAAATGGAACCAATTGATGCGATATATCGCATGTCGTTCTGACACAAAATATGACATCTATCGAATCACCTTAAGTCCAGCCAAATGTAACAATCCAAGTTTTCAATTCCAATTGCGATTTCTTCTTTTTAAATCAAAATTTATCGAAAACTAATTAAATGGGAGGGGGGTGGGGTCTCACTTTTCTTACTAAAATTCTTTAAAAATAAGCCAAAAGAGAGGGGGAAGGCTTAAATAAAGAGGAGCGTTCAGCGACTTTTAACACAATTCCAAGATAAGCGGGCAGGAAAAATTTCCGATCGGAGGTAATTCAAGATAACTGAGATGCAGGCCAAACAGACCTGTCGCATGGTGGTTCAAGTCAATGGGAGAGGTCTGGAAAGCTTATAACTCCGTTTGTACGAAACTTTGAGGTTTTTAAAGTGGTTCCATTGGTTTCCTCGTAGAATTTCCCTCTGGAAACACCCCTTAAAATTTACCAGGGGATGAAATAAACATCAAATTTTGCAGTTTTTGTCAAAAATGCAGTGTCCAACCTCTCTCCTTAGTTGGTCGGCTTGACTTCGGTCCCCAATCTCCCTAGCCAACTCCTGATCAGAGTTATTTTTTCTAAATTAGAGCCTAAACCAACATATGATAGTTTAATCACCTAGATGACCACCTGGCCGTGGAAATCGAAATCCCCGACTTTGTTATCGCAGTCGGAGGAACAAGGTGCTTAAATTGTCATATCTTCGACAAGATTCGCCACTTTTTCTCCCAGTAGAACTACAAAAAAAAAGAAAACCTCTCTCCTTAACTCGATCCACTGTGCTTCGCCACATGGTTGTGACGAAAAACAAATTGACTACCAACCTAGGTACAAAATTCCTGATAAGTCCAAAAATTGATTCTTGCCGGTGTTGGTAACCATGGATACATGATCATCCACAACAAGAGCATGGTATTGTAAGGTAGATCGGTCAATTGTGACTGAGTGCCATTGATCATCTGACAGTTTAGTGCCAGAGCTATCTTTGATTTGGAGAGGTCCATCGCCGAAGTTTAATGTACAGTAAAGGTGTCCATCAATCAATTCCAAAGCAATCAAGTCCTCACCAAAACCTAAAAACAAAACAAATTCAATGGTTTTGAAAAATTTGAACGCTTTACTTCTCACCTAGGGCATCGCGTAGCTCCAGAATGATGCTGAGTTACAAATGAATAGTACAATCACCACTATGTCATTTGACTGAGTCTTGAGAGAATTACTGGTACAAGTTCAAACTTTACATAGATACATGTTTTTACGAAGCAGCTCGAGACAATGGTAACCGCAGTAAAACAAAGGGGAAAAAACAGGAAACAAGACTAAAATACAAGAATAAAAAACCCTGAACATTTTGGCTCAAAACTGACATTTCATTTGAGAGTCATTTCAGTTGGAAAATGACTCAGTTTTGAGTCGAAACATCTCCGGTATTTTATTGTTGCATTTTATCCTTATTCTCCATTTTCTCCCCTCGTTTTCTATCTCAAACTTAAAAAGATACCATGTACTTGAATTATTATATAAATTATTGGCCAAACATTGCGCCCAAAAATTGGCCGAGCCCTGAATGCCTTTGCTTTCTTGCAAAATTTTCTTGTAAATTATACTTCCTTGCAATATTACAGCCAAGTCAAAAATATGTGAACAGATCTAGTATTTCGTACTTTAATCTAGTGCTGAACACTACAGATTAAGATTGTGAAAGAGTTTTGCCAATAATTTTTGTACACAAATCTTCAATCAAACCAACCTGAGTTGTAGAGGATTAAACCATTTGGCTCATGTGTGCGGAACTGGAAGAAAATATTGAGCGAGGAGTATGCATGGAGAACTGGCAGACCGACATAAGTATGCTTAGAATGGAAAGTCACGACATGGTGTAGATGAGGCTCCATCGGCTTTTCCATATTTGATGTCATTTCAATCTGTATTGTACTAGCAGTATCTACAAAAAGAAATCCAACAGAAAATAAATAAATGGACACACAAAATGGATTGATTTTTTGACAAAAATCTATCTCTTCAATTGGGAAGAAACCGTGGAATCTTCAACAATGCAGTTTCGAATTTGAGGATTATGACTTCTACATTTAAAGCACCGTATTAGAATCAATGTATGTCCTGTTTGAAATAAATTGCACATTTGTCATTATACATACAGTGGGCCCTAATTTGCATTGAATAGACCTTCGTGAGCTGGGAACCATGACAAAATAATTACAATGGGCAATGATGATTATACTCACGAAAGATTAACTTCGAAATTTCTCAAAGCTGATAAAAAAATAATTCTTAAATTAAAATATTCATCGGTTACACATTTGATGATTTGATGACTTTTAAAAGTTGACTTGATTGAAAAGAAATTTAATTGAGAAAAAAAGTCATGCAATAGTTGACCAGATCTGTGAAAAGGGAGTCTTATTTAGTCTAATAATAGATTTTGATGGGAAATGAGGTGAATAAATATATGTTGTTATGGGTAAAACTTGAGTTCAATTAAACTTTATAAGTTTATCGTATCAAAACCGTGGTAAAGTTATTCGAGTTCATATATAAACAAAACTGGGAAAATAAACAATTTTCTTGATAAGTAATTCTTTTAATCTTCCAGGGGGAAATTTTCCTTGATTTTTGCAAACACTTGAGAGATCTTTTTCTGAAACCTACGTATTTTTTTTTGGAGCTTCACGACTCATATCACCTTCAATATTGGAGCTCTCAAGGTCAAATTTGCACCAAAATTTCCAGATTCTTTTCCTCAATGCATTTGTAAGAAGTTAAGGAAAATTTTCTCCCAGAAGGTAAGGTCTGTTACTACAGATCCAGTCACATATTTGAGTTAATACCAAAACATAGACCTGTTAAAACACCAGAAATCAATCTTCGATGGAGTGGGAAAAAATTTTGAATTTCTGAAAAATTTTCTAAACGTATGCATGAAAATACTGCAGGAGTAATACGTACCATTCAAAACGGAGAAAGTTTTAGCCATTTCAAAGTACTGCACTCCGTTAAAGGTGAGCTGCTGCATTTGTCCCACAAATCCGGGTGTGGAGGCTTCAAATTGAAATGCTTTGGGTTGATAGAGGCCGCCCACATGAATGACCTCATAATGAAGCTCGATTTCTGCCCCTAACACCGATTCCACTGAAAGAGAATATTTCACATAAATTCAGTTGACGATTATGAAAAAACTTCTTCATTCAAGAGTTGAGTTGGTGTGAAACATAATGGAACTCGGATAAATTGGCAGATGTTTACCTCTGGCTTTTACACAAAGTAGATCAATTTGCGTATCTATACACGGTGGCGTTGTTGTCAAAGGCCAGTTCTCAGTTACTATTGGACAGAAGCAGTGGAATCGCTTGCAAACACAGGAAATGAAACACTGCTAGCTTGTCTGATGCAAGTTTGAAGGTACTTTAAGCCAAAAAAGAAGAAAAAAAATCTCTTGGAACGAATCTAATTATCAAGTTTTAGGCCATTGCTGATTGAGACTGACAGCTCTAGAATTCAAAGCACCATATTTCAGTTGCAAGATAAGTCCATGGTGTCTAGAACTCTTGACGATGCACATTCTCTGATTTTCAGGGGCTCATCCGCTGATGAGAAACCAGAGTTTTCTCCTACTTCGTCAAGATTTTCTAGAGAAAAACAATAGATCTCTTCGGAATTCCAGATGTAAATACCTATCAATTTTTATTTTATTTTTTTTCATCAGCCGAAGCTTAGACTAGAGAAACGCAATTCTTCGGCGCACATTCAACATTTTTATTTCAGTAACATTCCTAATGTTTATATTATCTGTTCAATGAAAGATTTTCTATTATTAAGATGTTTTGAAGATTCAAAGACATCATTCAAGAGATTAATAATGGCGGCTCAGGTGCAATATCATATAAATTTTAATAGCACAGGTATTTAAAATTTCCACAAAATTTGAAAATGAATGATTTTCAAGCTGTGGGAGAGGCGGTTTCTGGTTTTTGGAGCGGATTCCCTGATTTTCCTTGACAGTTTTTATTCTCTGATAAATCCCGGTTTTCTCCAGTCTGGTCCTGGACACCATATATAAATTCCATCAAAAACGTTTATACATAAAAAAGTGTTAGAAACATCAAAATATTAGGGATTTAGGGATAATTGGAGTGCATTTTGCGATTAGAACTACAATTTCTGGCTCATTTTGGAAATATCAAATGTGCCATTACTTTCACTACATAGATAGATGCTTTTATGGATTGGCTAGAGATTGTAGTTCCTCATTGCTAAATGCACTCTAATTGATAATTGAAGAGGGCGAGGGAGATGCTTAGTGAAAGGGTAAGAACAAAGGATTTTATAAGAAATGAGGGAATGTAAGCTCCTGAAAGGTAGATAGGGGACTCTTATGGTTAAGTGTTTAAGAGCGCCAGAGGCAGCTGTGAAATCAAATTGTATGTCAGTCATACAATATGTATTACCTGTAGCTGGAGGTAGATTATCGACCTGAAGGTTCAAGAAAGCACCGCGCCTGGAAAATTTTATAGTGTGCCATTGGTTATTATTCAGATCCATGCCACTTGATATCATCTGTAACAAGAGTTAAAATGTAAGATGGTATCGGCTTAATTTAAAAAATTATTATAACGTTGAATCCAAAGCCAGTATTTTAAAATATATTTTTTTTACTTGGCCCTCCCATTGTTGATTCTAGATTAAACAATTTTGAACAAAACATTTTAGAAAACAAATGGAGGCATGTACTGGAAAAACAGAACTTGGAACTTATTGGTTCTCAAAAGCCCAATATGCTGGATGCTTTAATTTAAAACTTACATCTTGTTTATCAGCTATGTGAATGGTGACGGATACGACCCCATCATGGAGCGCTATTGTTATTCTATCGTGATTGGAGCTGGTGTGGGAGGTCAACAGAAGCCCCTCTGCGCTATCCGTCTTGAATCTTAAAATTAAGTCTTCTACTTGAGAATGCTGCTCTACTGGTAATGCTATGAGCAAGTACTGAGTGCCGTTGAAACTCATCGTTGTTGCATCTGGAAAAAAAGATGTTCTTTGGTAAAAAAATAGAGCACAAAGTCAGCGATCGATGGGCGAAGGGAATATTTAGCTCAGATGCCAAAAGCACATTGCAAACATTTAATATATCATCATATTAATTCATTGCATTGGATACTTTTTTTTCTATTTATTTATGTAATCTTCCAACATACAGAATTATATACATTGTTTTTAATACAAAATAACAAAGGCAGACAACCAGGTAGTGTGACAGGTTCTTAACTTAATAACTGTAAATTAAAGATGCACTAGTTGTGGAAACTTTTAATGAAAGAAATAGAACTAATGGATAGATTTTACAAAATTTAATATCTACATAGTATATTTCGACCAAATATACCTATTAAATTAGGCTCTTGAGTGAAAAATTATTCAAGTGTGCTACTTCAAGTTAGAATTTCTGTGAGCTCGCTATTTTTGGAGCAAAATTTTTGGCGAAAAAGCAGTATTTTAGATTTTTTGTAGACACACTTATTTTGGAGGAATAAATTTTTTTCCGATCTCAATGTGAAGAGACTTGAACAGGAATCGTCATGGGTAGATTAGGCTGAAAAAAATCTACAACTCGATGCACAACATGATTTTAACCTGATTTTTTTCAAAATTAGAATTCTTTTATTAAAATGAGGATGATGTACTTAATATTGATCTTTTGAGATAAGATTGACTGCTCCTTCAAAACAATATTCAACTTACGTTTTCCACAAGTAGGTCCAGTGAAGGCAGTTCTTGAGCAATCGCAGATAAACCTATTCCAACCTTCCGTGCAGACACCTCCGTTCATACAGGGCAGAGTCACACACTGCAACTTCTCCAGTGTGCAGGCTGGCACAACAGATTCTAAAACAAAAGAGGAAAATTTTGGGTGAAATTAGCCATTAAGAATCAACTTGTATATTTAAAGCGTTTGATACCTTGATTTGACATGGAATGATTGACTTTCTACATTTTTTAACTTACTGCATTAAGCAGTAAATACATTCTTTTACTGACTTGACCATGGACCACTACACAAAGTGCGTAGTTAAGTATACTGATGCATGATTCTTAACCAAAACACTTTTGAGCAACGAAAATTACTCAAATTAACTCCTAACCAAGGTATTCAAAGTTTTTTGGCGCGTGAATTTGAACCTCCTGCTCATGAAAACACAATGGTCTACGCGAGTTCAATTGCGCAGTAATTAGTGCAATAACAGTCTCTGCAGTGTGAAAAGATTGCAATCTCGATTTCAGTACTTCGGTTTACCTGTTGCGCGTTGTTAACACTTTGAAGAACACGGGACAAGAAAAGACCACAGCTTAATTAAAAACCCTGCCAATATTTTTGTGATGCGCGTTTTGACTAACGTAGAGTATTGCGTTTCTTGTGACCAGGCAATTCATTTCTTCCATGACCAATGTAAAATAAAAACGTTGATATCTTCCTTAGGAGTTAATTTCAGCACTTTTCAATGCAAAAATCGTCTTCTTCGTGAAATTCTTGTTAAGAAACATGTGCTTAAATTCGTACCTTGTCTAGTGGTCCACCATGAGCCTTACTTCAGTTTCAAATGATTTAGCTACTTTAGTTCTGATAATTTTATGTTAATAACTTGAGATGGGGTTTAAAATGGTGACTAAATTGATATAAATGCTTACGAGAATCTTGTTGATGAGTAAGTTCAGCCAGATTCTGGACGACGCCATTGATCAAAAGACTTCCTATGCATCCTACAAAGCCATGGTTGAGAGCTATTGACCATATGACGGATGGCAGATTGTGTTTCTTGTGACCGACACCACCTAAAAATAGATCGCCTTCTAGGTTCAGGAAACCCACAGTTCCTGCAAAAAAATAGCCATAGACAATTTATATCTATCCATAGAAATCATAAAAGTAAGTTAAAACATTAACAGCAACGCCAGTCCTTGGGGACCTGCACTTCGGTAAGCCATTCATAAATAATTTCCACAGAGAGGAGAGAGTACTCTATGGAGCCTCTTGTTACACCCCTATCTAAGGGTTGATGCTAGCACTGTCTCAGAGCAATGCCTGTTATGCTTGCAAATTTTTCATGCCTCTTAACTTGCCGCTTAATTAAAGGTAATCTGTGGCAGTTCATGTGTTGAATCAGAATAACATTAATCGACATAACAACAATTAATTTCATTTAAAAAATGTGGGTTGAATAAAATACATTTGTTCAGATGATTAGACCGGCTCGTTCTTTTGTTGTGTGCTGTGTGATGGAGATAAACCAGTCTAAGATCACCCTGAATGTTTGATGATATCACCTTCCTCCCGATCACTTGTTATACGATTTTAGACGATAGCTATTTCGATGTTACGTACACATCATTATCAGGTCACTTTGACTTCGATTTGGTAAACACTAAAAGTCACATCGTATATTATTAAAATTTACTACAATTTTTTTTTATTTAATAGTGTTTTTTGGTAAATTTTAGTAAATTTTAATAATATACGATGTGACTTTTAATGTTTACCAAATCGAAGTCGAAGTGACCTGATGATGATGTGTACGTAACATCGAAATAGCTATCGTCTAAAATCAGATAACAAGTGATGAGGAGAAAGGTAATATCATCAAACAAAATGCAGCCCGATGAAAGAAGTTCAACTTTAAATTAATCACCCTGAATGTTGACCCGCTCTTCATGATTTCTCTCTGTGTTTCTGCCTGTCTGTTCCTGATCATTCAATACTTCACATGAGGGGCTTGCGGGACAAGGCACATGAGTGCAGTTTTTGAATTTGAGATGTTAACGATTTCAAGTAAAACTAGTCTTGATGCATATACTAGGAAAAATTTGCTCCTATATTCCAATTTTTAAGCATCAAAAAGTCAATTTGAACTTTCTTTCCGCCATTAAGATCCATGCAATTTCGAAACTGCAAGCACGTATTTATTGAAATAGCACAACTGCACTTATGAGCTTTGTCCTCCAAGCCCCTCACGTGGTCCTAGGACATGCCACTTGTTGTCCAAAATACATCCTCTTTTTTCCAATTCAAAAAAAGAGAGGTGCCATCAAAAATTGTTGACTATATTTTCCATTAAATCTCCCCCTCAGAAATTTCTTGTGGCTACCAAAAATATAAATGGATGAATACTTACCAGGTATGACTAATTCTGTGTTGAAAGTATCTACAGTCAGGGAACCATTTTTCCCGTGTTGTTGAACGCTGATTTCATGCCATTCACCATCATCCAAACGAGGACTCTTTGCTTCAGTGATGGCGGTTTTCGAATCAAAATTGATATACATCCTAATTTTACCCTCTAGTAGTTCCAAGCTTATGAAACCCTTCTGAAACATTGATAAATAAAGTTGGCGTTATCTTCGATGTAGGGAAAATCTGAATGGTGAATGACAAAGGGTCTGAACTAGGAAAAAACATTGCATGTTTTCTCTTCAAAATCTTGGGTAAAAAAACAATTTAGACAAGTGGAAGTTCAGAAATCGATTCCTGAATGATATATTAACACGTATTTTTCACACCAATCAAATGGAAGTTGGATCACACAAATGGACATCTAAAAGTCATTTCAGTTAATTTTGGGGAATTTTTCTAGATCTAAAGGTCAGTTTCTACAATTTATTTGATTATTTTTAACGTAATCCATGGATTTTCAATGATGCAACAGGGGTCTTTGTTATGAATTCCTGAATGACCGAGGTTTGACTGTAGGTAATTCCTCAATTTATATGTGTATGACAGTGTTGCTAGGTTGAAAAACTAAAAGTTAAACAAAAACCGAAAGAATCACAAAAACCAAAAATGTAAGGCATTAAGTTGTAATATGGACTAAAAGTATAAAATTTAATGTTTCTCTTTCACACCTCTTCAATCACTCAAAACTCAAACACTACAGAAACAAGAAAATTAAGAGAGAAAAGAAAATATGACTTACGACTTTGGCATTGCTATCACTTTCACAAAAAAATATGATGCCATTCGGTTCGATTGTCCTTAGTTTAAATTTGATGGAATTTTTCTTTGATATCTGCCACCTTGGAAGAACCTGTAAAGAGGAAATATGAGGATAGTGTTCATAAAATAGAGAATAAGTATTTCAAACATTATTGCCTAGTGTGAGGGGGTGCACTAATATCCCTAAAGCTTTTTCAAACCTGAATTAAATTCATCGATTTCATCACACAAGGTTTAGAACATTTTCCACACATCATGTGACTTTTATTATTACTGAGCTTATAAAAAAAAAACAGAAAAAATGGAGGTAAACATGGATTTAACTAAACAGATATGAACAACGCCATATTTTGGGAATAAATGAGTTAGGAGTAGGTTTGAGAGTAACCAGTTGGCCAATTTCTCTAATTAAAGATTCAAAGTTCAGAAAAAAAAATTTGAACTTGAAAACAGCATTGAATTTTATCACAGTATGCTCAATTAAGTAAACAATTAAATGTAACGGCAAATTATTGACTTACTAAGTGCGATTCGGATGTCTTGAAAGATACTGGGTCCCCCATGTCATGATTTATGCAGGAAAACTCCACTTTACCAACGACTGAGACAGATTTACTTGAAGCCTTGGCTAGTTCCAATAAGTTTAGTGATGTTGAGTCAGTGTGATATTCCATCTGAAAAAGGTATCAAGAGATCAAAACAGAATAGCAGGGATGCATTTTGAAAATTAAGCTCACCTTAACACTTCTGAACATCTCCTCGATTAACAGCTTGAAAGTTTCCAAAGAGTTGGTTTTCAGTATGGTGTTTCCTCAATTCGATAAGTCAATTATTTACAAATTTCTCATGGCATTTATTGAGAGTATTCACTTAATTGAGATAAAACAAATTTTTTCCCTAGTGATTGTTTGCGGGAGGAGGAACTGTGTTCCTAAGGCAAATATTTGAAAAGCGCCATGGATCAAAAATTCAGTTTTAGAGTTTTCTACAGAGATTACTCTCCTGCAAGGCCAATATTATCACCCCGGGCTAAGAGTCAACACGTACCGACTTGAACAATATTCTCATTTACTTTTTTCGGCAAACATTTGCCAAGAACTTATGTTTTCAAAACATTCATTTATGGACTCTCTGGAACTGAAGGAAACTAGAAAACTTAACCAGATGAAAGACGTTAAGTACCAGGAAATCAGAGCACCTTTTAAGGTGATTCGTCAAGCTCAAAAGAAGTGGTCGAACTGACATGCAATATATCGCATCTTTTAGGTCAAAAATCTCAGCAGATTTTGAATTTTCAGCAAAAAAAGGATGACAGCCCCTGCACATGAGCCTAAAAAATCATTCTAAACCCAAAAATTGGCAAAATCCAAGGAAATGAAAGCAGGAGAGTGTTTGGAAAAAAAAACTCGCATTCAATAGCTCGAAATCAATAGCTGAATCGAATGCGATTTTTTTTTCCAAACACTATCCTGCTTTCATCTGAATTTTGCCGATTTTTGGGCTTAGAATGATTTGCTAGGCTCATGCGCAGGGGCTATTGTCCTTTTTTTTTGCTGAAAATTCAAAATCTGCAGAGATTTTTGACCTAAAAGATGCGATATATCGCATGCCAGTTCAACCACGTCACTTGAGCTTGACAAATCACCTTAAGTTTTATCAAACAGTTGACTCTCAACCAGTGATGATTAAACCAACCTTGAGGCTTTTTTCCCACAGTTGGTCATTTTCCCTTGTTCAAAATTCTAAGAGGAGACATCAGAAAAAATGGCAAGGACTCAAAATCTGAGATGCACCAAAAGCAATGTGCACAAATTTAGAGTTTGAGGATTCACTTCACACTTAAAGTGGATCCTCTGATATAAATTCATGCATCTGCTAATCATTCACTTGGCTGAATGTAACAGTATGAATGGAGACTTTATACATACCTTCCTGAGACAACCTGAGTATCTAGAAATAGGTAGTTTGCTACTTTCATCGCTTCCACCAATGAAAACATGACTAATAATTAAGGAGGTAAACGCTCCAGCCGTGCTAGAATGCTCCGAATAGGCGTCATCGATGACTGCCGATACCTATTAAAGGAAAAAACCAATACCAATCAAAAGAAGTTCATTGTCAAGGAGAGGAGAGGAAAAGAGCTGATAAATAGTGCACTAAATAACAGTGAGTATCTTCAGCTAGCCCACAAACAGCTTTGAATACAAAATAATGGCAATCTTACGAAGTGGATCTCTTGCTAGCCAGCAGCCAAATTTCTAGGTAGCTTCAGCTAGGGTGCGAGGAGCTGCATTAAAAAGTCATAACTTAATTTTAATTTGTGTCTTAAAGCAGTCAGATTGGACTAGGATCGGCCCTTTATAACTACTGAAAAAAGTAGGAAAAAGTGAGTAAAGAAATAAATTAAACGATTAATCAATCAGTGTAATACTCACATGACAAAAACTGGTGACAGCAGATATCTGAAATAGAGAGGAATAAAAAGGCTGGTCATGATCGAACTAATTTCAAATTAAGAGATAAGATTACCTAATGATGAAAAATATCTAAGAGTGTCAGTGAAATTGGAGTGATAAAAAACATCGCACATTCTGAAGAAAAGTCGTCGATTACAATCATTCAATCAAGATTGAGATGTGTTAGAACATGTTAGAGGGAGGTTATGTTGTTAACAAATCGCACTCGCAGCGCGCATGACCGCGCGCTACGCAAGAGCATTGAGCGAATGAAGGCGAAGAACCAATGAGATGAATGAACCTCTTGAGTAGGTCACTATGCTCCGCCCCCCGTAGTACGCTACGATACTATCATGCGTACTGCGTACTCGCACTAACTTACTGGACGCTAGGCATAGATATTTGTCAATATCTCGAGAACGGTTGCAGATATTGGCATGCGGTTTGGACGCAACTTCCTCGAATAAAAGTGGGCAAATTATTTAAGAGGAGTCGGGTCCTTCGGCCCGTCCGGGGGGGGGGGGGGGGGAGGACTTTCGAATTTAACAGAGGAACCTTCATCTTGTGATACCTCGTTGGAGAGATCATAATAAAAGAAAATTTTTGACACAAGCTGCAAGTCGCTATCTATCACCGTTTAAAAATGGAAGCCGGTTTAAGTTTAAAATGGCGGCCAATGGATACTTATGTCGATTGCTTGTTGACCGATTCAGATGGAGCTTCAAAAAATTTGATAAAAGGATCCAAGAATATTGCACTATTTTGATGGCCTTCAAATTGACGGAAAGCGGTTATCTCCGTTGTTTATTGGCCGATTTTGCTGAAACTTAAAAGCCAGGAGATTCTTGGTGCGGAAAGAACGAGTCTGGTCAGAAATAAAAAAAAAGGCACTTTATTCGAGACTTTATTCTAGAAGCACTTTATTATATGTTTTATCAATGGCAGCTTTTTCAAATCAACTTCCATTTTGACACGGTGACCTGCGGTTTGTGTCAAAAATCTTTCTTTTTTATGATTTTTCTGACGAGGTATCACACGATGGGAGTTCTCATTTGAGATTCTCGATCCCATTGAGATTTACCCCCGGGGAGGGGGGCGGGGGGTCACAACCCCCCCTATAAAACTTTGCCCTGCTATGTGCAACGTCCTGATTTTTCTGTTATTAATTATCATACAGCTTTTCGTTACGAATGATAAAACAAAGTCGTTATTGTTAATTAAATTAGAGCAATGGATGGTAAAATCTTACCTCTAAGACTCTCCGACTCAAGCTGAATTTATGCCATTGGTTGTCGTTGAATCTTATTTTGTGCGGTTTAATTTTTAAATCTAATTTTCCATTTCCTAGTTGCATTGAGACGGAGACATAACCACTTAGAAGAGATATCGTCAGGACTTGCAATTTGTCATCTGAAAATTACAGAGAAAGAAATGTAGTTACAGGAGGTTAGGAAAAAATACGTATCGAATAGACAGAGTTTGAATCGTTGATTTCCTTTTTTATAAAAAACTGGGAGAGGGAGACAGTTTTAGCTTTCAATTATGACATAAAGGTGTAGGAGTAGGCTTAATAGTATTGAAATTTATCTGAGTTTCACCTAGATAATCATTATTTATTCGTCAACGGCTGTATGTTTTTCATTAAAAATTTCTTCGGGGAATTTTTTTGTATTACCAAAAAAAAAAAATTGTAAAAAATTTTAGAGGCAGAATTGATTCCTTCTCTTATTTACTTATTGCTGTACCATTCAATTTTATTTTGTCCTTTTTCATATTTTTACTCCATTTTTCTACCTTTTCGCTTAGTTATTTATTTATTCATTTTTTATTTTGAAAATTTTTAATTACTTTCATTACACTTTTTCAATTTTTATTTTGGCTTACATATCAACTAAGCTTATTACTGGTATACTCACTTGAATGAAGTAACAGTCCATTGGGTTTCTTGGTTTTGAAATAAAACGTGAGAGAATCCTCGTTACTAATGTGTGGCTTAAAGCCAGGCTTTTCGAAATTGTACTGAAGATAGTCAACACCGGCGAACATAGCCTCCACAGGCATTTTATCTGCAATGAGGAGAAAGCCGAAAATTACTTAGGGTAAAACGAAAAAAAAAAAGCAAAAAAAAAGACGAGGAAGAAGTTTTATTAAATGGTAAAATAAATATAAAATACACATATGGAAGTTGCAAAATCTTGGTGAACCTGAGAGGAAGGCTAAAAGCAAATCATTATCAGAAGAAAAATAGCATTCAAAAAAACAAAACAACTATACAAATAAGATTATTTTTTTATGCTGCACAATAACTCAAGATTAACATTTTAACCAAGTATTATTTGCAGATACAACATAGTAGGGGGCAGTGTCCCCTGACCGCTTCGCACTCTAATCTCCCAGAGCATTTTGGGCCTCAGGCTTTGTTTACTGCCGGTATTGATTCACTTGATTGATAATCCCGATTCGATTCAAATTTGATGCATGCGAAGGCTTCGAACTGCCACAGTAGACTCGAGTTAGGTTCGATTAGGTCATGCAACTAAATCAACTTCGCGGTACAGCAAGAGGCGTCGCACGGAAATGAAGGCGCGACACTGCGAAATTGCGCAGATTTATTCTGAAGCTGCAATGGACCATTAGACGAGGTACGAAATTAAGCATTCTGATACGGGGTTCTTGACCAAAATTTAACGTAAAACACGATCTGTGTAACGAAAATTACTGAAATTGACTCCTAACTAAGATATTTAATGTTTCTTGACGCGTTAATTCAAACCTCCCGCTCATGAAAACTCAATACTCTACGTGAATCGCATCGCGCGTTAAACGTTACCATGACAGTCTCTGCGATACAAAAATCTGGCAACCTCAATCTTGACGTTTTGGCTCAGCTGTAGCAAATTGGTTATAGTTTGAACAACACAGGGTGGAAAATGAACATTGCTTGACTGAGGCTTCTCAGTCGAGCACCGTTAAGGTGCGCGATTTGACTCTCGTAGAGTATTGCGTTTCTTATGACCGGGCAATTTAAATTTCCCGGTACAAATGTAAAATAAAAACGGTAATGTCTTCGTTAGGAGTTAGTTTTAGTAATTTTTATGCGCGAATCGTGTTATACGCGAAATTTTGGTCAAGTATCAGGTATTAGAATTTTTAAATTCGTACCGTGTATAGTGGTCCATTCATTCGTGCAGAAGTGTGAAGAATTTTCGAATATACCCTGGTAGCAGAACAAATTTTTGATTTTCTACAAAAATTATACAAAAAACATATCTTGAATCTAAATGGTGGTTTAACGTGTAACGCTTATATAAAAAAAAATCAAAGTTCAGACCTGACCATAATATATGAAAAATGATAAAAGCTAGATAATAAAGTAATTTTTTTATAGACAATTTTTTTATTTTTTTACATAACGCATTCATACGGAAGTGTTAAAAGTGAACATTTTTATGTAACTATTATATAAAAAAAGGCCATCATTTTCGTGAGCTTTTTGCGAATTGGAAGATTTTTTAGTATGTTTGCGAAAAGCTCACGAAAATTATGACATTTTTTAATGTAATGGTTATTCAAAAATGTTCACTTTTAACACTTTCGTATGCATGCATTATATTGAAAAAAATAACTTTTGTACATTATCTTTATCTTTTCCTTCTATGGTTCTGCTACTAGGGTATGAACTTTTTCATGTCTTCGCGAAACTTAACTTTTGGCGCTTACGCCCTTCTTCAAGTAAATCGTTAAAAAAAATTATGACATTTTTTTATATAATGGTTACTTAAAAATGTTCACTTTTAACACTTTCGTATGCATGCGTTATATTGAAAAAAATAACTTTTGTACATAGTTTTTATCTTTTCCTTCTATGGTTCTGCTACTGGGGTATGAACTTCTTCTCGAAAGTTGACTTTTGGTGCTTACGCCCTTCTTCGAGTAAACCGTTCAAATGTCTTATCGTTCGAAACAACACAAATGCAACTTGCCTTTTTCGCAGAAAGGCCCCTCGTAGTCGAGTCCCCTGCATTGACAGATGGGGCCTGTGTCTGTAGATATGCATAATCCGCCATGCTGGCATGGGTCACGTTCTTCGCATACGTCACTCACGTTGGCGTGGAAACTCTGCAACAGACATGACAGGAGGTCAGAATGAATAGTTTAGCTCAGAGGCGGAAGACGGAGTAAACTAGCAGTGCAAAATCGCTGTTTCGATGGCGCTGCGTATTGCATAAGCGCAGAATTGCAGGTGCTCTTTATTTTAACGCCTAATTAGACGGTAAAACTCCCAAACCAAGGATCTCGTCTGTCGTGTTTTGTTAAACACGAAACTTTAAGTATTCGTCGCAAGGCGCAAGGCGCTTATGATACTTTGGCCTGAAGGTGACGATATTACATAGGTACATTGGACCGCGTTAAACAGAAAGGAACCAAGCCACATCAGCTATTGCCAAATTTAATCGGGCAGTTTAATTTTTTACATGAAAACGGTTGTGCGGATTTATGTTCAAATTTCAGTAAATTTTCTCCATACTACGAAACAAATTCCTGAGAATTTTAAAAAGAATAAGCACAAACGTTCTCTTGTAAAAAATTAAATTTCCCAATTTTTGGCAATAGCTGATGTGGCTTGGTTCCATTCTGTTAAACGCGGTCTCATTATGTAAATGATTAAACACCAAAATTCAATTGGACTAGAGGAGCACAAGGAAGTAACCACAGCGAGTGTTCCAAGTATGTCTGAAGATGACAAAACTTTCCAGCCTGACAGAAATTTCAGCAAATAAATCAAAGATTTATTAAATGAATAGCTCGTTTCCAAAAGTTTCGAAGTGGAAGCTTTGAAATTCAACAAGTGGACAGACGTGAAAGAAGGACTAATTATGCCAAGTTTTTAACGACCGACTCGTCTGCTGTGCAGCTCATCTTTCGACTGAATTAAAAAATATTAAAATATTTCGTGAGCGAGAGAAAACTTCGAGGCAAGAGGGCGGGAGGCGACCGAACAATGGGAAAGTTACCGCGCACCTGAGTAATTGTAAATGTCAAGCTAAGAGTTGCCTTTTCCTGAATTGACTCCTGCTCTGCCATGCTAAGGAAAAACGCTGTATGCACCTTCAGGCGTTGCCAAATTTTCTTCGATAAAAGACGAAGGGAGATGTTGCATGTGTGAGGAATTTGCGATTGGGCCATTTCTCTTATATAAAAGTTCACGAGAAACACGATGGTGCCACTGGTTTTCTCTGAAATCAACTCCTAAGCTCAAAAAAAGCTCTCAAGTTGAGGCCAAAATGGAGGGGATATCCCACCCTACCCTGGGAGTCCACCTCTACAACAAGACAAACTCTCCATGCAAAAATAGGGAGCAAATACATTAGCAGTGATGCCGTGTTTTCAGTTTTTGAGTCCCTAAATAAAGTGGCAGCCCTGTCAATAATGTATTTGCTCCCTATCTTTGCATGGAGAGTTTGTCTTGATGTAGAGGTGGACTCTCAGGATAGCGTGGGATATCCCCTCCATTTTGGCCTCAACTTGAGAGCTTTTTTTGTGGGAGTTGATTTCAGAGAAAACCAGTAGCACCATCGTGTTTCTCGCGAACTTTTACATAAGAATCAACAGTCAAATCGCAAATTCCTCACACATGCAACATCTCCATTATGTCGCAATTTCATGTAAAGTTCCTGAAATTGTCAAGTAAAAATATTCATATCGTTCCTCAAAAATAAACCTTTTATCGGAGAAAATTTGGCAACTCTGGAAAATTCATACGGCATTCTTTCGTAGCACGGCAGTATTGTGGTAGAGTGGAGTAGCGTGGAAGCGTGGTGTGCTTCGCGATACATCGATTAATCAGCGATGTAAATCTATAGAAAAGGATGTTCGCAACGAACACTTTAAGAATCGATTCTTCACTGCAGCTTTAAATGGGGAAAAATCGGTAATCGATCATTCAGCGCCTCACCACTGATAGCATGCGTCATTTTGCTCGGACGATGTAACTGTTTGACTTACAACTCATCGTCGGAAATTCACGTTTACCGCCGCGTCGTGCATTTCGAAAATGGAAATTTATTGTTTATCATTTGACGTTAATGGTAAAGTTTTTTTTAAAGCTTTTTTCCATCTAATTCTTCACTTATAGAGTTAATATCGATGTTCCAAGTCGAAAAAAGCAAGCCTCCATATTGACTTAAGGTGATTTGATGGACGCCATATTTTTTGTCAGAACGGCATGCGATACAACGCATCAATTGGTTCCATTTTTTCAGCTACTCGTCATTTTTCTCCAATTTTGAGATCGCAATTCTGTTATCAGGAGACTAAAGCACTCACTTACCAATTTTAACAAAGAAATTCAACGTAATAAAGGCGTGGTTTTTTTAGAGGGAAAACATCGCATTCGATACTGATATCGAAGCTGCACTCGAATGGGATATTTTCTCTCTAAAAAAAACCACGCCTTTATTACGTTGAATTTCTTTGTTAAAATTGGTAAGTGAGTGCTTTAGTCTCCTGAAAACAAAATTGCGATCTCAAAATTGGAGAAAAATGACGAGTAGCTGAAAAAATGGAACCAATTGATGCGATAAATCGCATGCCGTTCTGACAAAAAATATGGCGTCCATCGAATCACCTTAACAAGAGTAGCCTAGATGCAAGTAGTAGTTTATTACACATCTTTAATATTTTCTTCTAACACAAGTTTAAATACCGTACAGGTGAATAGGCGCGCTTTCCACAACATTTAAAAGTATGCTGTCAAATTATTCAAAAGTTACTTTTATTCGCACGGAAATGTGTGGAATTTGGATGTAAAGTATTTAAATAGTTTGAAAATTGGCAACATTGTACCTATTATTCCTGCTCTCATACCCTGGAGCCGCGACGAAATAGGAACGTCAAATCATGGTCGCAGAATTGGGTCATATGACTTGGGATATCTAACGATGCAATTACACGTTTTGAAACACGAAAAAATAAAAGTCATTCATATTTAGATTTTTTTTAAAAAATTACCCGTAAAATGTCCACGATCTTTAAAAAAATTGAAATTGAAAGTCTATTTTTTCAAGTTAATGAAACTTTAAAACTTAAAGTGAATTGTCAACATGGCCGGATTTACCTGCTTGCCGCCCATGGGCCGCCTGTATTTTGCCGCCCTCTTCTCATTCATTTTGAAACATCAATAAAAAGCATCAAGTGAACGTGTCGGAGGGAGAAGGGTGCATAAGACGCGTTCACTCGTGTTGGACACATTTTTAGCGTAAGCCCTGTCAACACTACTAGCAAAAGTTCACGTAACTTCGCGCGAAAGTTCAGTTCTATAAACCTATCTCTGTGTGGACAAGGCCTTTCATTTGTAAGAAATGAGCTAAAAAATTAAAAAAGAGCAAACGTAAATGTGGTTTAATAATTTTAACTTCCGCCGCGCTGACCACACTGTGTTTGGTGCAATGCGTGAAGTATTCATGTAGTCTTGTAGGCACTGTGCGTTTCACGCCGCGCCGGCCGCTGTTGACCGTACTGTGTTTGACGCAATGCGTGAAGTATTCATGCAGTCTCGTAGGCGCTGATATGTGTTCATGCCGACCGCCGCGCCGAGGGCTTCTCCTTTTCATCTCAAGTCCTCGACATCATTTCTCTCTGCGCCGCGCCGCTCCAGGCCAAATTACGTGTTTGGTTTCTCTCTTAACTCAACTAATTAAAGGGGCGCAGTTTTTTGTATCACCGAAATACGATACAATTAGAAATTAATGAACTCTCAGGAAATGAGAGATTTTGTCACCTTTTCTTGTTTGTAGTTTTATTCTAAATCCGATTTTTTTGTACCTGCATTTAAAATAAATGCAAAATTTGCCGCCCCCTAATTTTGCCGCCATGGGCCGCGGCTCATGTGGCCACCCCCTTAATCCGGCCTTGACAGGCCCGGCCTGTCAAGGGCGATCTCAGGCAACCTTTCAGGACGAATTATCTTAACTTCCACTTCTACGAACTAGAAATGTGAATTATAAGGAAGATTTGGCAACACCGATCATACAGCCAGCAAAGTTTTCTTTAGCGGAATCCCTCTGCATTCCAGAGCGCTCTCCCAAATTCCCCTCGATCCCGACCCCAGGGATCTGCATTCTTCCGCGTCCGCGGTTTTTGACTTTGATTTCCGCGTGTGGTATTCCTCGCTGTCATTCCTCGAGCAACTCCACTCATTTCTGTGCAACCACCACTATACAGGGTAATCTAAAAGTCCTACACCACCCCTCTGCCGATAGTGAAGAGAGCAGTAAGTGCAAAAATGCAGTTTTGAGAAAACGGGCTCAGAGGCTCTGCCGTGATAGCGAAGAGCGCCGTAAGTGCAAAATTTTCGAAATCGAGTTTTCTTCAAAATTCGTCGAAACTCTTTTAGATGAAATTAGGTACTGAGACGGCTAAAACAGCAAAATTCATCCTAATTTAATGAAAACGAGACGTATGAAAAAGCCGTAAGTGCACAAAAAATGACATAGTTTTTTTTCAAGACAGCCGCGGGTGCATGAGAGACAATGAAAACAGTGCTTTCCAGTAAGGTGCCGCCTTCTTCTGCCAATTTCTAACCTGAAAATGTGTTTGTTGTGCGTCCAAAACGGAACCACGAAAGTATGCAGAAGATAACACTTACGGCTGTCTTGCCTAACAATAACCTAGCATGAAAATGAAAAATACCCTTTTTATGTAATGGAAATAAAATCAGTCGATTTTTAATCATCCATACGATTTCTAGGAGTCTTCCGGACGATTAGTGGCAATTTGACAAATAACGGAGGCTTCTTTTAATAAAATGTTCCGGTCAGAAGCTTCTGAGCCCGTTTTCTCAGAACTTCATTTTTGTACTTACGGCTCTCTTCGCTATCACGGCAGCATTATATAGGGTAATCCAACAGTCCTACACCACCCCTTTGCCGATAGTGAAGAGAGCAGTGAGTGCAAAAATGCAGTTTTGAGAAAACGGGCTCAGAACCTTCTGACCGGAAAATTGTACTGAAAGGAGCCTGCTCCGTTGTTTGTCAAATTGCCACTAATCGTTCGAAAGACTCCTAAAAATAAAATCGTTTGGATGATTAAAAATCGACTGATTTCCTTTCTATTACATA